TATGTTCCCACAGTTGAAATTTAGATCTCAAATCCACTTCTACTTTTAGACCTGTATCTAAAGTAGGGTGACCATATTCTGAATCCCAACAAGAGGACATGACCACGCAGAACAGAGTCGAAAAGTCGCATGTAGTGAGTTTGAGAGTTTTTCAGGTAGGTCAAGTGTTTTTTTACACGCTTCTAACTCAGTAGGTCCATGAAACAAACTCAAAACCCCCGACATTTGTAGGATTTTATAAACTCCCTCGGACAAGGCCAGATAAGGCCGGACAAAAAAGAGGACATGTCTGGGTAAAAGAGGACATATGGTCACCCTAACTTCAAAGTCATAAATGGCAGATAAGATTCAATACAAGAATGAGATTTCCTCTACACAAATCCAGCCATCATGCAGCTGAGGAAAGACCCGCACTGATACAGCAGGCCCTGAATGTGTATTAGAGCCAGACGGAGCGTACCTGACATCTCCCTGGACTCCATTCATAGTCAAGGTGAGGGCCAAGTCCCAGCAGGTCCCAGTAATGACCCCGGGTCGTTGTGGATCGTTGTGGAAACGGCTTCATAAAGTCATTAGCGGTGGATGTGCGTGGACAGGAAAGACTCGGATAACAGAGCGTGTTAAATGTGCCGGGCAGGTGAGAAAAGTCTCTCTCTTTCACCTCAATAATAATAATGATGACAGTGTTTCTCCATGCTTTTGTTTCTTTCAATCATGTGTGAACTGGGCTGCAGGGTGACGCAGAGATCAGTTTCTCTTCTCTTACTCTCATTTCTGCAGATTTATGACAAATTTATATGTATTTATATGTATCAGAATTTATGGCTTTAATCTCTGTTTTTTAATCTGTAGTTTTCACTCATTAAGAATAAGACAATGAAGATAAATTAAAAGGTCATGTTTTTACATGAGGAGCACTTTTCAGATCTTTTACCACCTTGATCATTATCAGACTGATGATTTTCAAGGTTTCTGAGGCAGCACTTATAGACAATATGATGCTCCATGTGAGGATTTATCAGATTTGGTCTACTTGCTGTAGATTAAGTAGAGAAAGTCTGTTTCACCTGCATGTAGTGGACAGTCTCATCTGAAACCCAACCCCCTCACAGCAGAAACAGACATTAAAACTTTACTCTGTCTCACATGTGTCCAGATCTACAAAAGCACTGTACGGTCATTTCACATTTTAAAAAAGATAGGTTTTTTTTTGGACCATCAAATTCACAGATGTTAAAGTCAGCTTTCAAAAGTGGGTAAAATCGAAACACATATATCGACACCTGAACAACGTTAAAAAATAAAGGTTTGACAATCTGTGGAGAAGTGGAAAAGTTTGATCTCTGAACTCAAACTATACCATAAAAATAATGGAGGATAACGTGAGATAGCTGTTTAAAGGGATTCTTTATGTATTTATGTTATTTTAGCATTGACCTTACATTTATTTGTGTAGTTCTGATGAAAAATTGTGGATTAAATATTATCTGTAAATATTAATCACAACTTGCACCATGCAAATCCAGTAAAATACACTTATATATCCTTAACCTGTGCAATACATGTACATATGCATAAACATATATATGTATATTATTCTTGATATTTTTTATCTTCCTATTGCACAGTTTGCACTCCAAGAATTGTAACTTTTATATATTTTGTACCTATTTTATTGTACCACTGAATTCTGCTTCTGTCTCTTCTTTTTTATTTCTATTGGACTAAAATGGAGAAGCTCTCTGATCCTGTTGTACTTCAGTATAATGACAATAAAGGGCATCCTGACTCTGATTCTGGAGGTTGGGACATAAACTGCTTGCACTGTATTAAACCTTCTGTTTTTATCATTTATGCACTTGTGTACTTTTACTTTTGCTTTAAACATGCTGGAATTAAAATACTTTGAAAAAGCAACAAAGGAATCGCCCATCTTGTTGTTTATGCTCTTGTTTACATTTGTAGCTCATAAAGAAGTGAAACTGTTCATATCAATCTGTCTCATAATCAGAAACAGAACCTTTACAGGAGCTTTAAATGTGAATCATTAAATTAGGACCGACCCAGACTTGACCATGAACAACATAAATCTGCTCCAAACACTCTTATACATCAGAAATATCTCGATTTTGTCTGATTCTTGTGAACCTTCAGGAAGCTTTTTGCAGCTTTTTTCAGTTGCATTTCATAAGTGTAGTTTTCTGCCTGAGGAAAAGCCCCAGCAGGATTCTTATAAATGAGTCTCTACTTTGCATGTAAGCCCCCACAGATACTGAAGTGCTGATGAGGAGTTTTCAGGTGTCTTTGGTGAGAGGCTCATTTGGGAAGGACGGCCCGTAGAGCTATTAGGGAGCAGCTCCTCAGCTCCTTTCTCCTCTGGGGACATGACTATGAAAAGAGGACACTCTCAGAGACAAAGATCAGCGTATTCCTTGTCTGGCTCCAATACACAACCAGGAGATGATGATGCCTGACTCTGTCATTACAGGAGGCTGAGGTTTTACTGCTTACAGCGCTGAATTAACTGAATTAAGAGGCTGATTTGGCTCAAAAGGGCAAAAGATTTTCCTCTCTTATGAGGGGAGTTAGGAGAGAGAGGAGAGTTTTGGCTTTTACTGCCAGTAATGAGTCAAAATTACTCGTTTTTTTGTAGGAGGGCCGTGTTAAAGAAATTGACGATAAGAGGAGAAATATTTTCATAAAGCATTTTGATAGAGAAGTCTAAATTTTGGACTTACTTCTTGAAATTTTCACATCATTCTCTGACTTCAAAAATGTCTTCAATGTGTGACCAATTTGTGGCCTTATGTCTGGCATTAAAACTTGTACTTCCAACAAGGTGTGGCATTAAGGATTTGGGGGGGGGGGGGTTATATTTTGCTTAAAGTTCATTGTGTAACTGGAAATATATCCCAAAATATCTGCCATGAGATTCAAGGCTCAGGAGGATGCTTTAAACTGTCTTTTTTACCCTTAAAATAAAGTCAGAAACATTTCTATTAATGCCAGAAATATTTCAATTTTAGCACTAATATTAAAAAAAATGAAATACAGTTAACAAAGTGCGAAAAATTTGAAAAATATATAAAAAGCAAAATTAAATTCGAGAAACACAAAGACCTACCATGGCATGCCAAAAAAATGAACTACTTGACTTTTTTTTTTACTGAAAATTTCAAGCTATTATAGAATAAATTCGTTTTTCTAGAATATTGAAGCATATTTAAAAAACTGTATAAAGTTTCTCTATTTTTTGTGACCCTTTCACATGTTTCCTAAAAATATTTCTGCAATTTTGTAAAATACTTTAGCTTTTCATTGAATTTCTAAGTGTGTTGTAAAAATTTGTCACATCAACTCATGTGTTCTACTCATTTTGTTTTTTAAAATGTTTTTTCCTTACACAAAAATATTTAAATTTGCTGAATTTTTTTTAGGAATTTCATAATATTTGTGTTTAAGAAAGTTTTTATCATTGACCTTCAGGGCCACCATATAGAAGACGAGCAAAAAATATACATTTTTAGTGAATTATACTAATTCTATTTTACAAATTGATTGAATAACCTTGCTTTAAAAGTGTGTTAATTTAATTTAAGTTTATAATCCACAACTATAACATAGAAAACCATAAAAGTGAAAATATTTACTCTACTTTTTTCACTATATAATCATCTACTAAACTCTGTTTCCAGGTCACATGTCTTTATTTTAAAATCCTACTTTTTAAGCTGTTTTGACTCTTGTTGAACATGTAAAATCTGGACTTTGGTGTGAATCAAAGCCTCGTCAGGATAGAGGTTTTTCCTCATTGCAGCGCCAGTAAACAGCAGGTCTTTGGGGTGGGTGGTCCGGTCGTAGAGGCATCAGAAGAGGCCTCGTCATTGTTCAGGCCGGAGGAGAAAGTCTGTGTTTGCGCTCTTCATTAGACATCTGAGTGTCAGTGAAGGGGGATAAATAAAACGCTCCGAGGTCAAAGGGAAGCAGCGGTTCACTTCGGTGTTTAAATGTGTTTTAACAGTTACTTAAAGCTCCGCAGAAACTCACCGCCACCTTCAAATGATGGAAATGAGGCCGCGGAGTTTGCAGAGCTGGCAATAATCCCAGTTGAAAGAGAAGCTGTCTTTGTCAGAAGAGTAAGAAAGCAAATCAGGCCCTTTAAAGACGCCGCTGTGCTTCATCCTCTGGCCTTTAAGTGTTGAAACCTAAAAGGTCTAAAGGCTTTTTTATCCAGCACAGGATATATTTCAGAATAAGAGTGTCTGGCCTAATGAGACTTTGAATCCCTCAGTATTCATACACATTTATACGATAAATCCACTCCAAATGAAACCTGGATTGTTGCAGGAATTATTGCCTTTCCCAGTCAGAGCAATAATCAAAGGATGGATCAACCTGTGGATTAACTCAGCAGCTGAGATTAGAGCAGTTTGGTTAAACCAGCAGCAGCCAACACCAGACCCGCTGAATCTGACGCCTCAGTTACGCACGACAGTTACTCCATTTTAAGAGCGACACCGCTGCTGTTAAAAGACACACTCTGAGAATAGGTGCGATCATTTCATACAGGAAAAAGATGATGGACTGTTTTTATACAGGAGGTTGAGAAAGAAACTTTGATTTCAATGTTAAGGGCGCAGAAATAAATATTAAAAGGTTATATAAAAGAGAAACAGAGCGAAGATTATCTGCAAATTGTTTCTACTTTGAGTCCAAATTTCAATCTTCTATCATGAAGCGACTTGTTACGCAGATTAGAGCATCTGTGGGCCAGCCGAGACTTAAAAGGCTCCAAATAAGATGATTTGGTAACATCAAGGCTCTCTCAGCGGTAATGATTACATTTGGACTTAAGATCCATGCAAGAATTTGTAGGCCACTAAATCTGTGGAGCTCCCCTCCCCCCGGGGCTCTTCAAAAGCCTTGTCATTCAAAGGCGGAGGATGTTTGACAATCCCAGCTTGTACTACTCCACCAATTAATTGGATACGTTGTCGGGATGTTCGTTTCTCTCATCTGCTACTTAGAAAGACAAAGGATCGATGGGGGGCTGTTGACACCTCCGTGTCCGGCCCGGGTATAAAGGAGGGCTCTCCGCAGACCTGCAGCATTCACTCTCCTGCTGCACTTGGAGCGACAACCTCGACAGAGACCCTCGACTACTATTTTTCAGCTTTTTTCAACTAACAGGCAGAATGCAGGTGCCAAACAGACCAGTTGGAACTTATGGATACTCAGTGCGTAATTACGCACCAGCATCGCTCTACCCGCACTATCAGGGCAGCCAGTGCGCGTCCTCACCGAAGCCTCAGAGTGGGAAATCTTTCACTATCGATGCTCTGCTCGCCAAGCCGGAGGAGACAACAACCTGCCGGGCGAGTCCCACTCACTGCGGGGAGAAGTATCAGCCAGCAGCTCCGGTTTTGCCTCTACCTGGACACGTTGGTCTACAATTACCCACAGCACCTTACGTTTACTCTCCGAGCATGCTGCACTCAGCGGTTCACTCACAGCCTGGATACTCAGTCTACTGCTGCCCACCTTTCACCTACCAGGCATCGTGTCGTGGAACATTTTACGCACAAGGTAAGAGGAAAAGTCCAACTAGGAGAGTCAAACACGCGTAAAAGTCAAAACTGGTTTGTGTTTCCACGGCAGTATTACTAAATACAAACTCTTCTTTCAACAGGTTCGATGTCCAAAGTCAACGCAGGTCTGCACTCCTTCAAAACCAAAGGTGGGAAGTCGAAACGCATGCGCACTAGTTTCACCAGCGAGCAGCTCTCCCGGCTGGAGAAGGAGTTCGCCCGGCAGCAGTACATGGTCGGGTCAGAGCGGTTCCTCCTGGCCTCAGCGCTGCAGCTCACAGAAGCTCAGGTAAGAAGTCATGAATAGAAACGAATAACTCAAATCATCTCGCTACATGAACTCGTTTATTTTCTAAGTCAAGATCTCTAAAGTGGATTTTGTTTCATTTCTCTCCAGGTCAAAGTCTGGTTCCAGAACAGACGCATCAAGTGGCGCAAACAGAGTCTGGAGCAGCAGCAGGCCAAACTCGCCAAACTGGGTCTAGCTGCTCCACCCAAAAGTCCCGGATCTCAGGGCCACGGTGATGAAGGAGATGAGGATGAGGAGTTCTCTGACCTGGACGTGGACATCGATGTCTCTGATGACTGTACTGATCACTGCTGACTGAACCCCTCTGGACTTGTTCAAGGACTTTGTACATAGTGCTGAGAAAGGAGGCCTGTGTGTCTCCAACTATGAGTATTTAATAGATGTATAGTTTTATATTTAAGTTTCCACACATATCGCTCTTTGATGAGTCACTTCATGGTTTTTGTACATTTTGACTGAAATATACAGAAATATATTTTATGACAACAACAGAAACTGTGTCCTTTCCCTTCCTTATTACACCGAGTCTTTCTGAAATTAAGACCAACTGAGCAGTTTTTGGTCTAAAGGGGTCTAATAGAGGTCTAAATGTAGCCTAGATGACTGGTCTGTAATCAGGTTACCACAGGTCTAAAAATGAAAGTTTCGACTAAATCTAAATCTGGGCTATATCTATTCTACAATGTATTTTGCTCAACGGCTATCATAATTATTTTGGTTAAGTACTTGGAGATCAGTTATACAACTCACAGTTGCTTTTTGAAATAAATAGTTAAATAATGGGTTAAAGTGCAATGTCTAAATTCTGTCTAAAAATATACAGAATCTAGACCATCGAAATTATGATTTAAAACAAAAACTAAATGTCTAACAGCCGTCTATTGCTCAGTGGGGAGGGAGTGTTTAGTTCAGGGGAGACAGTCAAAATGGGAGCTGAAAACAAATTTTCAATGACAAAACTGAGGCGGATTTTAGTACCCCATGTAGTATCCAGATCTAAAACAAGGGTATGTTACACTTAATGCTGCACATCTAAAAAAGAACTGATGAAGCAGACAAGACACAGAAACTTTAGTTTCTTTTCAAACAACAAAACCAAATCCAACACAAAGTAAATATTGGATTACATTCAGTAATTCAAGTTAGATATGTGTAATATGTTGCAAAGCTGCATTCTAGTCATGCTTCTGCTATCTACAAACTTTCCTGTATTAATTTAAGGAACCAGAAGTATTTTGGGTGCAGGGTCTTTAGCTGTTTTTACACATGAACTACACTCCTGCAATATTCCTACAGGTAAACTCCTCCCCTCTGTAATATTACAGATGGCCAATCTACTTAAAGTACACTTAAGAATAAAACAAATGTGGAAATATTTGATTTATCTTTATCAGTTTGACATTAAAAACAGTCAGATTTATTAGCTATAGGACAAAATCAACCTCGTTTCCAATGTTCAGGTAGATTCTTTGGCTCCAATCCATCCTTGCGTTTGACTCTAAAGGTATGATCTATTTATTTACAGATCTACAAATACCATGTGATACATGAGTATAAATGTGGTGTTAGTTTTGCCTCTTTAAATCATTCAGGATATCAGCTTTGACACTCTCTGGACATAATTTTGTGATATCTGCAGCTATTGCCTGTACACTTTTTATTGCATTCCAGCAATCGTAGAAATAAAACCACTCGATCAAGCACACCTGAAGCAAATAACTTTTCCCAACTCAAGAACTTCATGTCAGGCTACTTGTGAGCTAAAGCATTCAGTGTCAAACTGTCTGATCTGAAATAAATCCCTATCAAACCGTCGTTACATCCCCTGACCTCTAATCTCAGTGTGAAGATGATGGAGACATTTCCTCCTGGGTTTGAAGTCTGGGACGAGCTCGGGTTCCCCTCCGGTTTAAGCTAAGCAAATAAATAACCAGCTCTGGGATTAGCTGGGAGATCTGTAACCCAGGGTGGTAGGGGTCAGTCTGTCTCGAGGAATAGAGATCCCGGGTCTCACTCTTTTAATCTGTTTAAACGGTTGGTACGCCTGTTCTCACTGCTTCTCAAAGGACGGGGCTCATATACGCCCACCCACCGCCGGCAGGTGTCCTGTCTCTGCTTCATTCAAACTCCACGTCTGTCCTCCCAGGTGGGACGGGTCTCCTGCTGTCTGCTGAGTCCTGCCTGGCAGACATGAGGGATAAAACAGGAGAGAGGGCTGCATGGAGAGAGGATCAAGGTATAGCAAATGAGTCCATCAGAGCAGCTAATTGGGGGGTCAACCTGAAAGTGTTGTCCTGTGGATCACTCTTCTAGTTCAATAAATAATCTCTCCTACATTTGATCGCACGTCAACCTCTTAAACTGTAGAAATGCGGCACTGAGGAGTAAATAACATATGAGAGAATCAAAGAGAGACTTAAAGGGACATTCCGGTGTAGAATTAATTTAGGGTCAAACACACCGTAACACCGAGTTAGAAACCCCCTCGAGAGATGAATGTTGCAGACCGCTTGCTTCTCTAGTTATACCAACTTTAGTAACGACCGCAGGATAAATACACAGCGGTCTGAGGAGCCATAAACAAACCTCAACCAAAACACCACTCTATAGCCACAAATAATGCTCAGAACAGCACCTAACTTCATCAATAGTACATATAGAGTCCTAACCACAATACTAGCCACCAAACAGCTTTTTAGCTTTGCCTGATTTCTTAAACACAACTCAATTTTTCTCTTCCAGCAGCCGCTTGTTTGTAGCGAGACCTTGGGTCCATTACAGACTACAGTGCGGTGTCGCAGCTCAAGGAAGAACATTTATGATCATTTCTTCATGGAGATACAATCAGACCGAGACGCTAAGGCAGAAGAACTACAGCGTCTGCAGTGCAAAATGATTAATATGATGATTATTACTTCAAGGAAATGATAAAGAAAAGGTCATAAATGTTCTTCCTTGTGCTGCGACACCCCACTGTAGTCTGTAATGGACTGGCCTGAGGTCTCGCTACAAACAAGCAGCTGCTGGAAGAGAGAGGGTGAGTTGTGTTTTGTTAAAAAGATGTTTGGTGGCTAGTGCTGTGGCCCTATATACTGTTGATGAAGTTAGGTGCTGTTCTGAGCATTATTTGTGGCTATAGAGTGATGTTTTAGTTGAGGTTTGTTTATGGCTCCTCAGACCGCTGTGTATTGCTATCATGCAGTCGTCACTGAAGTTGGTATAACTAGAGAAGCAAGCGGTCAGCAATATTCATCTCTAGAGGTGGTGTCTAACTTAGTGTTACGATGTGTTTGACCCTAAATTAATTTTATGCCGGAATGTCCCTTTAAATAATAGTAACAGAGCTGATCTCTGTTCTCGTCTCTGTCCTCCACCTCCTCTCCGCTCCCTCTCTCCTGGTGTCTTGGCTCTGCCTGATTAGAGCAGCAGCGTCGCCGAAGAAGCAGAATTTGTGTAAAAACCCCAGAGAGCCGTTTCTGATGTGATCAGAGCTCTCTCCACAGCTCCACGTAATCCCATTGAGGGAAAGAAAGAAGCAGTCAGAGGCCTGGGAAAACCTGGAGAGTCCTGGAGAGGAGGAGGGGGAGGGAGGACTGGGGGTCAGCGGGCTTGACATCCCAATTAGTCCAGGGCACCTTACCGGCTGGAAACAGGCCAACGCTGACGGGGTTTAAGACCCTCTACAAGAAACTGAATTAAAGCTGATTATGAAAAGCTACTGTTACATCTTCATCTAAGAGTCCTGAGACACAATCAGAGTTTTTGTTTCGCTGGAGTTTGCAGATACTGTCGAGCTTTAGTCACCTACCAGCAGTGACTACACAACCTGACCTTTTTAACCTTAATCGCTGGTACACCGATGCCCCAAATACTTTCCTTTAGTTAGTGCTTCAAATTATGACTTTGGGCAAGAATCTTATTTAGTTGTAAAGATAGAAAGATTTCCACTAAGATCAATTTCCACTATTCATAGTATTCAGGTCTTATTTAAGGCAGGTGTATATATTGATCATATCTTGTTTTTCATGCTTTTTTTCCTGTTTTTTTAAATTGTATTTTACCAAACTAGAATGACAATTTCATTTCCTTTCAGGGATTAATAAAGTCATCTATCTACCTACCTACCTTCTGACATACCTACCTATCTACCTACCTATTTATCTATTTACCTACCTACCTATATATCTTTCTACCTACCTACCGATTTATGTATCTACCCATCTACATACCTAATTATCTATCTACCTGCCTACCTACCCATCTATCTACCTACCTATATATCTATCTACCTACCTAACTACCTTCCTATCTATCTACATACCTACCTATATATCTATCTTTCTACCTATCTATTCATCCATTTGACCGTCCTATTAATCTATCTACCTACCTGTATATCGATCTACCTACCTACCTACCTACCTATTTATCTATGACTGACCTACCTATCTATCTATCTATCTATCTATCTATGTAAAATCTTTAAGTACCTTTAATTCAGTCTGACAACGTGTATCATAACGTATCGAATCGTATATATCGTATTGTATTATAGTATATCGTATGACATTATTAAGATAAATGACGATAAAAGGGTAAATTAATGCTCATGGCACTTCTACAAAACCTGTAGTCTATTTCAGAAACCCAGGAAAAGCGTTTTTTTTTCCTCCTTGTTGGATCACGTGACTGAACTCGGCTGTAGTGCAGCTCTGAGGTGTGAAAGTTCTCATGGAGGAGGGTGATAACCTCCAGCTCCAATAAGACAGTGCACTTCATTTGACCAACGCGAGTTTTAGGGCAGGCTATCATAAAAGGAGAAGAAAAAAAATCCTTCTTTGCATTTTATTTGCAGAGCGGAGGGCCCCTCTACTCCATCTAATAGTCATTAGCTTTCATTACGAGCGTTTGAAGTAGAAGCTGGTCTTTGTCTCGCGTTGAGAGGACCGCATTTCAGACGCACAATGGCTTCTGACACGGGCACTGACGAGAGGGCAGAGCTCTCCTGAAGGGGAGAACACAGCCTGCGTTTCTCTCTCAGGAAACAGCAGTTCCTGCTCAGCCAAGAGGAGACACAGTGAGGCTGATGAGAGGGAGAAAAGACGCTCCAGGAGGGTGGAAAATCCCACAGTTCAGGCCTAATCATCCAGCGTGCGCTCTTTACGCACGACATAAAAAGGTGGATATTTACCACATGACATTTTGGTTACTAAAACTAATATGTGAATATGGTTTCCTTTCCTTCTGGACGTGTTAATCATGAGATGTTTGTTTATGCAGATGGGGAGGTGCCGATGGAGGAGCGGGGTTCAGTGCAGGTGGCTAAACGACAGCACTTCTCACGCAGGTGGCACAAACGCAGCGACGTGCTACTTTTCCCATCTCGTTATAATGGGGTGAAATTTTCCAAGTATTTAAGTGGGACAGATTAGCTGAACACACAACGCTAATGCGAAACAAAATGGCCAATTAGTTTATTAATGAAGGAAGGGAGGTGAGAGAGAGAAGGAGACCCGGAGCTGCAGCTGGTCTGACTGGATCTGAGGCTCCAATCAACAACACCAGACTAGACCAGAACTGGATCGATAAAATCAGATACAAGTGTTATTCCTACGTTAGACAAAAGTTTCTAAATCAATGTAACAGCAACTATCACCCACCAAACACAATCTTTTCTTACCTCAGTGTTTTGTGTCTGTTTAGAAGAGACTACATTGAAATAAGCGTTTCATCAGACCTTCTGCTGGACAAGTTTGGTTTTACAAAAAGTATGAAAGTCGATCTGTGAGACAACCAACACTGGTCTCCTTTACTTGTCTGAATAAATCACGTGAGGTAAAAGGCCTTACTATAATTACTTACTAATATTTAGAGATTTCAAACCTGCTATTCTTCAGCTCTACCACTAGATGGCAGCGTTGCTCTACAAACAACATCTTCAGGGTTGCATCATGGCAAATACCTGACACTGAATTTCTTATTTTTATTTCTTAAATTGTGCATGTTATGCACAAACAATTGATGTGTGAGTATTTGACATTATGCAAAAATTAATAATGCATAAAATTTCAATGTTGCATGTAATCATTGTCATATCCCTGGCTGTAATAATTTAGTATATAAAAAAAACTCTGGGTAAAAACGCTCCCTTGCTCACCCCTCATGTCAATGCAGTATCGTTGGCCTTTAAGGGCAAGTTACCAGTTTTTTAAATTTCTTATTAACTTTTTTTGTTTTGATTATTTGCACCAGTATAAACAACCCTTCTCCTTTTGTTGTACTTGTGCATAAAAATATCAGGTATCAAATATCAATTACCTAATATCTTTGGGCTCACAGCACTGAAATTGACGCTCATGATATAAACAAAGTAAGAGACAGTAATACATTAAATAATAGTTTCATAAGATATAAACTTTTTTTGCTGTTTTAAGAGAATGATCAAACAAATTGTCTGTAAGCATCTGATGTTTTACGTTCAGAGCAGCTTCTTTTATTACTGGCCACTAGAGGGCAGCACATGCATTACAGTTTACCTGTATTTCCTCCACGTTCCTGTTTTCATTTGCACCCCCAGACACATTATATCACAGTCGATATAAAAACTATTATTTAGAGCACATATCACTAAGAGGAGGGTCGTATTTTCACGTTATTTGTCTTGAATTGTTAGAAGGCATAAGTCATATTTTTGGATGGTATTTTTGGAATAACAGATTGGTGTATTTTCACCTGTTTTACTTGTGTTTATAAATAAGCTGTATACACACTCAGACTCTTAGTTAAACTGGCACAAGTACACATTAAAATTTAATTGTCTTAATTAGCTTAAATTAAACTCATTTGATTAAATATCCAACAGAGAATTAATACTTTGGGAAATCCACGAGTCTTAAGGAAAAATGTAGTTTTCAAAATTTTGGACCACTTATTCATGCCTGAAAAAAAACATTTATTTATTTTTATGTTTGGTAAAAATAGTTTGTTCTCCTCTGTTACTCTTGGATGAGGTGTCTGTTTGATTTTTTACTGTTTTACTGTTTTGGCTCATCTACAGAGTGAGTTCACTGAAACGTCCTCCAGTGTGTTAAATATTGGCACCATATGATTCATTGTTGTACCATTAAAATCACACTAAACTCTGGCACCTTCCTTTACATCTCTGGTTAGCTATTCTCTCTTTAAATTGACCAGATTTTTCAATGTGTAACAGGCTGCAGCTGAACCCATTCCCCTCCACTCTTATTAATATATAACATCAAGACTTTTTAAAACCTACAAATCTATATTTGATCTATTTCCCGGGAATGTTCGAGGATATTAAACCATCTCTATTTCTAAAATATCTCAGGAATCCGGACCCTGAAAGGAGAACTGCTCTTTCTGTTGGAGACGGTAAGGCAGAGCTCGGTTTGTTCAGTTTGTTCAGTCTGTCAGGTCTCCGGAGCCTTGGGGGGAAGATAAACAGCAGGTACGGAACAACGCTACACTGCCCTGCTTTGTTTTTCTTAATGCAGAGCGATTTGGCCATCTATTAACCAGCAGCGATCAGGGTCAGTGCGTAAAGGCCCCGCAGGGTTTCATCATTAAACTTCAAGTTCCTCCTGCTGCCGCAGCGCTGTGCGTAAAAACACGCCGTGAATGTGGAGAGTTATGAGGCTGAAACACAAGGAAGCTGGTCACCATAGTTTCCTCATATGCTTCTTTTAATTTTGCAATTTTATACACACTTTCTGGTGGATTTATAACATGATTTTCCTGCTAAATAAACTCCGTTTTAGATAAAAATAAAAGTACATTTAAGGAACAAAGTTGAACTCCACGTAGCTGCTGCTTTTTTTGGCACCAGCTCAATTCGGCGTTACAAACGATAACTTACACTCGGATTTAAATGAGTAATTAACCTGTTTTATATTTAACAGTGGCTCTTATGAGTCATGCAACAACTAAGATAAAATTCCAAGGTAACAGCACCAATGAGTAGATGTTTCACCAGTTCCCTTTGCAGTGATTTTAAAAGTATATTAGGAGTAGAAAAGGTTGGAGTAGTTTCAGAGAACCTTCTGCCGCTGTCTTTAGGAGCCTTTAGCTCTAAACACCTAATCAACAACTTGTTCTACCTCATCATTTCCATCGGTAATGATTTTCTAATGCAGGCCTCACACAAACGAGCGCGTTAAGAGGTCGATCATTAACTTGGTTAGTGCGCCATGGAGGCAGAGCGCGGAGGAGAGGGGAGCTCCAACAGTTACACAACGGTGGTTATAATGCATGGGACGCTGAACGTTAAATATGTACACCTATGACTCACAAAAAGGCAGTTTTTACGCACGTATTTATGTGCCAACGGTTTTCTCGTGTGGCAGGACGCCCTACTTTTACCACTTTTCTGTTTCATTGTGGTGAAATAATGCGCCTGAATATGTCTGCTTTTCACCCTGTAATATCTTGCCTGTATAGACAACAAGCTTCTGAAACTGATGCAGTTATAAAACCATAGGGGAAGTTTTTCTCTCGTCCTTTACGCGCTCTTTATTTCAAAAGTATTAACCACCTCTCATGCTCTTAAATTCTTTCTATGTAGATTTTTTAAGGACATTGTTGGTCTAATTGCCGAACGGTTTTATAGCATTTTTGTTATGGTGTTAACTGTATTATAAGGCTACAAAATGTAAAAAATTAAACCTGTTTTTCCCTCTAAAATTGGAGGTAAAATGATCCACAATCTGTACGAGTTATGAGTAACTGTTCCATTAAGAACTATATATGCACGTAAACCACGTAGATTTTGACTTTTATATATAGAATATTTTTGATGAGCATGAATTAAAACTGTATATTTCAGTCCAGCACACTCTTACCCTCCTCCAAGTCAAAATCTGTCTGTATTTTGGATAGCTCCTAGGGGCCCATTTGCAGGTTTGACTCTAAACTCTGAATTTCTTGACATCAGGATGTCTGTATTTTCATGCAGCCACTCCTAAAGACTTTCTGGATGACTGAACCTGAGCTGGAACAAGTTCCTTCCCCCTCCGGCAGATTGTTTCCCCCCACAGAAAAGCCTGATATTAGGTCTGAAACGCGCGCACAATGAGCCGTTAATTGGAGCACACATGTTTTCCCAGCGTGCCTCTGTTACTAAGCTGCTCCGGTCCTGTGTGATCTATGAAGCAGGTACTTGAGGGGGACCTATTGGCAGGTGCTCTGGTCCAATCAGCTCCTTCCCCTGAGCAGCGTCGCGCGCACTGAAGGTTGGAGGCGCTTTTACTTTGTGCGCACTTGTGCACGGAAACTCTCAGAGTGCGCACAGACTCCATGGATCAGAGCAATTTGCAGCACTGTTGAGTTTTGTACAGCAGCATCTCCTCTGAAGGCGAACACACCCCGCAGTGAGAACTCCATCTTTGGTCATGACGCTCCTCTGAGGAAGGGGGGAAAAGATTGATCACTTTCTTCAGGTTTTTGGTTTCTCCTTCCGCCCAAAGATGATGTTTTCGTCTGCAGGAAAGCGCTGCTTCACCATAGAGTCTCTGGTCGCCAAAGAAAACCCTCTAACCCCCGAGGATCCCATCCGTCCCACTGCTCTAAGTTACTCCAACCCGACGACAGATGCTTTAATGAACAGTTACCAGACCCCGCAGGCCAGGCCCCTGTACCAGACCCCGGACCTTGTGTTCCCAGAGACTGTCAGCCATCCCTCCCTCACCGTGGCCCCTCACCAGCTGGGAGGGTCACACCTACAGCATCCGCACTTCTTCGGGACGCAACACCGAGATCCGCTCAACTTCTACCCCTGGGTGCTACGGAACAGGTTTTTTGGACACAGATTTCAAGGTAAGAAAAGCAAGAATTCAAAAAAGACCAACGTAAGGATTTACAAATCGAGAAAATGATTTGTAGTCCACGAAAAAAATAATCACTAACGCTTTAAAATCGTGCGTAAATTGGCTGTAAAGACGGTTACGCACTTTGGATGAATTACGCGTTAAGTTTGGACACGATAAGACCATCAGCATTGAAAGTATTCCTCAGTTAAACAATAAAATTCATCCATAGATAGAATTAAAGACAAGGCCACGGGGTGTTCAGCAGGCTGTCGGGCTCTCACATTTCCACTCTCATTCGCCCTGCAGCTCCTCTCTCCAACAGCCTCAGCCAGGAGGAGATAAGCTCCGAGGTTTCCATACAAGCTAAAAGTCGCCCTCAGGCTCCGGAGCCTTTTCTAAAAATCAGACACAACAGCCGGGCTGTGAGGACAGAACTGATAAAATCCAGGAGAATAAATCCAGCAGAATGAGGAGGGGGAAACAAATGAGGAGAAAATCCTGCTCAGACTGAACAGAGGCTGCAGTGATTTATTTACAACATAGACACCGAGTAACCAGAATTTAGCAAACTGCATGAGGCAAACTGTACTCATATAACTATTGCTATTTCCAACTTTGTATTACAACCATGAAAATTAACTATGCACATTTATAAGATACCCACAAAACAGCTTTTGCTTAATGCACTACACGTTTTAAGGGCGTAATTGTGCAAAAACATCCATAGTGCGTAATTTTAAATGTGAATACTCATGGTGCCATGTGTAGTACCGAGGAAAAAACATGTTCCTGCATCTTTAATTAATTTCTAAGCTATCTTTAGTTTAATAACTTATAATGTGCAACAGTGCTTCTGTATGGTACAATAGAAAACACGGTCATAATGCACTAAATACTCTCTGTCTTTCCTAATTTTGTCTACATCCTTTAAAAGTGTGTAGATGAATGTAGGTGAGAGTGTGATGAATATTATTGTTTCATTCTATGGTGTCCAATGACAATTAATAGATTATATAATAATACTAATACTTATAATAATAATAATAATTGTCACAGCAGGACCTTGAGGTCATTAATACTTACAGTCTGAATAATTACTCCTCATTATACAGCCCTCCACTTGAACTTCATATGTGATTTACAAGGACAATAAACAGAGAAATATGCTGCTTCAAATGTTTGTCACAAAATGGAAAAATTAAAAAGTGTTCAGTAACCCTGATTGTGAAACATTAAAATTAATATTTGATGTTTAAGAGGAGACGTTCAAATGTTAACACCGTCCTTACAAAAACAATAGGAGGCGTGGCAGGTTAATTGGTAATTAAATTGGTAATTAAATCACATTAGTCACTGAAAACAAAAAGTCTGAATCCAACACTTTCACTCATTTTTTCCCCCTTCTTTTTGTAAATATATTTATTTATCTTTATCTAAATGTACAGTGTGATATCGCCTAGTTAATTTTTAATAAGTGTGATGTTTGTGCTCCACAGTTTCACATGTCTAAATACATCGTTCCCGTCAGGATTTTGCAGTTTTTACAATAAAAATAGATTAAAATTAAATAAATGTTTTCTTAGCACCAGATCTAAATACTACAGGACACGTTGTGCTCACATTGGTTCAGCATCAAGTCTTCATAACCGGTCACTTTGTTCAAACCAAGAATACCAAATTTAAAAGCACTTATGAAGCAGAAATATTGATTTTTGTTGTAAGTAAATGTTAGGACTATGCCATCATTATTTCGTTATGCTGCAACAATAAGAACGTGGTGCATTATTATTATTAGGCCTATTGTTATATTATGATTATTATCATCAGCCTACTTTTATTATAATTGTTATTACTATTTATTATGAGGCTAGTTTTCTGACTTAGCCATTGCACACAATAACATAGATTTAAATACCCCTAATATTAAAGTGGGCCACAGTTTAGGGATAATAAGCGTAAAATTCAGATTTAAGGTATTAACAGCTGATTATATAAAAACTGCACCTGACAAATGTCCTTACCTTCACTGACGGACGGTGTTTCCTCTCTTCTCTAACCCGGTGTCAGGTAATGATGTGTCCCAGGACAGCCTGCTCCTCCACGGTCCCTTCGCCAGGAAACCCAAACGGATCCGGACGGCCTTCTCGCCCTCGCAGCTGCTCCGCCTGGAGAGAGCCTTCGAGAAGAACCACTACGTCGTCGGAGCCGAGAGGAAGCAGCTAGCAAACGGACTGAGTTTATCTGAAACACAGGTACGGACGTTTCAGTGATTCAAAATGAAATTTTTAATATCTTTATGATTAATTAAAATTTTATAAAAGAGTGATCTAATACACAATTCTTTCAAAAATTCGTTTTTATCGTTGCTAACCACTACTGACGTTTCCATGGCGACGGTCTTTTATATCACATTCCAAATTCTAACGGTCGAAATTCCCTCTTACATCACCAAAACTATTATCGGTAAAGTAGAGCAGATCGGCGTAAGTGTTTTGTTAGTGTTAAGGTAAACCCTAAATACTTCGTTACAGTTAACGATTTTTGTCAGTCTGGTGTGCCAAATCTTATGGAGCAAATTGTAATTTTAAATTTCGGGGATGATCTTCTTGGGAAGTAAAACGAAATAAGGCAAAAATAGGCAAACAGCTTAGCTATATTTTCACCCTCGCGTTAGGAAAACCAAGTAGATGCATAACTAAAATAATTACTCAAAATAGTCTCGTTCTAGAGGCAGGCTTTTAATACGAACCGAATCAATCATCTCTTATATTATGAGTAATAATACATATTAAACCCTATTAATTTACTTTATTAGAGCTTTAGCTGTTAGCTATTCTTAAAAAGGATTACTATAAAATCATTTCTACATTATTTGAGTGATAAATTATAGTTGTTAATTTATTTTGGTGAGGTAACTATCGAGTTATCTAAATGTGGACCATTACACAATTAGATCAAACCACGTAATATGATTGGACAAGAGGCATTCCATGAGTGCTGATATTGAGAATATCATCAGTGGGACTTTTCACTTCAAGTATCACTCCACCTCTGTGTGCCCTGAATGCACTTCATTAAAATTACAACAGACTGTTTGTTACTGGTACCTCAAAATTATACAGGCCGCAGAAGAAACTGTTGGTCTTATTTCACATTTTGGAAACATACAAATAAATTAAAATCAGTGAAGAAAAATAGCTTTTATTGTAAAAATATAACTGCATAAATTATGTCAAAACTAAAAACAAAGACAGGACAATTCTGCTCACTGTGCCAAAAGATAAAGTGGTGTAACTATTGATAGGTGTATTTAATGAGTCTACAATAACTCAATTAGGCCTAATAGGCAATATTAAGAGGCACTGTCTGAGTCAGCAGTATGGACAAAAGCTGCTTACAATATTAGTTTTTATGTCAGTCAATAAGATATTTGCAGTTAGGCATTATTTTTGTGATGTGTATATTAATGACAGTGATGTAAATTGTACTCGATCGTGTGTCAGTGTGCATCTGTAGCAATGAGCCGTTTCTGCTTCTGTATAAACGTTTGGATGAAGACCTCGAGGTACCTTAGAATAATTTACCCTCTAACATATTCCTAACCAATATTTGTTTTTTATTTTAGTTTCTGAGCAAACACTGACCTACAAAACTTGCTTTGGTATAAGAGGAGGAAGCTGTATAAGTGACGCTATTTTAAAGATGCAGCTTGACCTCATATAGGACACACCAAGGGCATATATATACTTGGTGATCTTTACTGTACACTGATGTCAAGCCCAGCTTTGATATATACAGTCCAAAGAGAGGCGTGGTCACTTTATTTGCAGAGATGAGGAAGCGCTGGAATAAAAAGGGGTTTGAGTGAAGGAAGGACAAAAAGGTTGTAGGGTTTGATGGATTAACACTGTTATCATAATGCAATTTAATTTTGTTTTTGTGTCTAATGTTTGCACTGATGTATTTAAAGACTTGTGAAGTGACTTTGACTCTGCATCTATCCTGGAAAAGTTTTCTAGTTTAGCGTTATTCTTCATAGGGCCTTGCACACTAGGGCCATGGTTGGCTTCTTATTGCAAGACAGAAACAAGGGCCAAAAAATTTTGATTTGGGTGAAAATAGCTGCCAATGCAGCTGGCACAATTTTTGGAAACCAAAGTTTGTTGAAACATAAAACAAAACTTATCTCAAGAAATTGGTTGGGAAAGTTTTGGCTTCAAATGTTATTCGACTCCCTGGGTGTCTCTTGGGCATGTGAAAATCTTGCTCTGAAATGATTTTTTGGTTAAATTTAGCGAGCTTCTAAAAAATTAATTGAAAAAATCTCCAAAGTAATTATCAAGCAGCAACCTCAAGTCTTTAGAAAGGAAGCCAACACAGAAATGCTTAAAATTGCAGTTCCCAGAGTGTCCACTTGGAGCACCAGAAACCACATACGCTCTCATTAAAAAAATTAATCTTGACAGCAAACAAACATGTCGATGGCCTGATACAAAAGTGGTTTTTGATTGAGTAGCTCATTTCCTTCTTTGGATTGTATGGGATGATTTTTGTTGACGCATCCTTTTTGAAGATAATATAATTACAAGTTTGGCAAGTTAGTCTATGTTCACACTGCAGGTCAATTCCGATTTTTTAACCATATGTGACACATATCGGATTTTTTCATGTTAGTGTGAACAGTGCAATTCTGATTTTTTCAAATCCGACCCAGGCCTCTTTTGTATGTGGATATAAATTGGATATGTATCTGATGTGACTGCAGTGTGGACACTCAGGTCGCATTCATCCGACCATTGTTTGACAATGACAATCGTTGTTGTAATGCGAACGACCGCACGAAAAGATCGAATTTAACAAAAAATCCAAATTGTGCATCATAACCTGCAGTGTGAACGCAGCCTTAGAGTCAAGGCTGATGAGCTTCAACACCAACTCTCAGCAAGGAGAGTCAAGGCGCTCCAAACTCCACCTCTTTGCCTCTTGGTAGGTCAAACAAAAGTTAGGTTGAGTCAGCATTTCCAATATGGCGACTGCTGCTGATTGGCTACAAACAAAGTCCATATTTATTCGTTTTTGGTAAATATTTAATTGTTATTATGTGCAGATGTCTGATAAGTCAAAAGGGCCTATTCTAGGAGATGTTCTAATGTTGTTAATCTCTTTAACGAGCGAGACCACTTTGATCACTTTTATTTACCTGTTTATTCTCCCGTCCAGGTGAAGGTGTGGTTCCAGAACAGGCGGACCAAGTACAAGCGTCAGAAGCTGGAGGAGGAGGGTCCGGAGAGCCAGCAGAAGAAGAAGGGAAACCACCACATCAACAGATGGCGAATCGCCACCAAGCAGGCCAGCTCTGAGGACATAGACGTGACTTCAGAGGACTAAAAACCCGACAACACTGCCCTGAACCCTGCGCCCCCTACAGACGCATCAAAGGACCAACACTATTTATTATGTAATATTATTATAAGTATAATTAGACACATTAGAGAAAGGACTGAATATGTGATCACTGCACATCTCTTCATCGAGGTGATTGACTCTGACTCTGGAAAATTGACATCTTATTTAAGTATCCGTCATGGGATTGTGGAGAGATCCATCCATTATTTAAAGATCTTTGGCGTGTAACCAAAGATGAAGGAAAAGTCAACCTCATTCTCCGTCGTTGTGCTTGTTTGTTTGTATTTTTTTTTATTATTGTACATAGGCCACTAAAAAAGGTTGTTTTGAATGGAGGCATTTGTTTCATTAGAGCTGTTTTTACCACCTGCTTAGGCCATTAACACCTCATTGCTCACCACACCCTCTCCGCCACCTGTGTACTGTGTTAATTTAAATTTCACCACAAAGACGGGAACACGTCGCACACTTTCAATCCTCTCAGCGAGCGGAGGAACAGGCCAGAAGAACAAAGGAAGAAGACCTGTGATGGAAGATCCTAATTTGTCACTCCCTGCTTGGTTTCTGTTTGCAGAGCCATTCCATCGCTGGGTTCTGCTCCTAACGAAGAGTCTCCACAGAGAGAGGCGATTCACGAGCAGCTGTGCATGACTCGGGGGGACAGACGAGAAGCTGCAGAGACCTCTGCTGTCAGGGGCGAGTTGTGCCGCATAATGAAAAGCCGGTCCACAGCTTTGAGCCGCTTCTTCTTCTGCCATGCCACATTTTTCAGAGAGGACATGTGACGGATGACGTGTTCATGTGTTGAATTTTTCTGCAGATTTCATCAAGCGCTGTGTGTAGAACAAAACAAATGAGAACATACTTTTGGAGCAGAACGTGTAATTACAGGAGGATGGTTTAGAAATAAAAACAGAAGCTATTTCTCTCATGTGAAACGAGAATGTCTTTGTGATTCAGATGTTCGCTTTGAGGAGGAGAAAACAAGGAGAGGGAAGGTTTTTTTTATATTATGCATTTCAAGCTTAAAGTAGAATTGTTGAGAATAAAGACACACTTTTTAGGATACAATTAAAGCAAAATATCATAAAGTTAAAATACAATTTCAAGAGTAAAGTTGATGTTGCTGAGTGGGGATGTTACAAGCCTGCACAAGAGTCGTCCAGGTTTCAAACTCTGCTTCACTCACTTGCTTTTTCCTGCTCTTTGTTTCCAAATTCCTATAAACCAAAAACCAACACAATACATAATCAAAACAAGTGATAAGCAAGTGGAAATGAAACATCTTATCTGTGCAGTCTGATATCTACAGTCAAGGTAAACTGGACACAGACTGAGAGCTGAGATCATTCACTCCTCAGCTGTCTGCCTCACTGTGGCTTTTTGTCACGTTAGGCTGAAGTTTCACTTTTTCTTGTTATTGGTGACTTCAAATGTTACTTAGAACACATAACTTTATTCTAACAACTAGATTGTTGAATAATATCACTGAAATGATCAATTTCAGTCGTGTCTTCTACTCTTTCTCATAACAAGGATATCAGAAAAATGCTCATGTTTGACTTTCATGAGACTCATCTGTTTTTATAAAGGGGTAAATACAGAACAACACGAACTGACAGTGTGATACAAGGTCACAGCTTTGACCCTCAAACAGTTTTCTGCAGTTTTTTTTTTTTTTTTTTTTTTTTTGTATTTTATTTCTTAAATCAGGTTTCGACTATTTTCTCAAAAGTAAATTTAATCATTTTTTCTTAGAAATTTAATTTTAATATTTTTCTTCAAATTTAATCTTGACTCTTTCTTTAACACCAGAATTCCAACTTTTTCCAACTCGTTATCTTTTTCTCCCAAAAATTATATTTTATTTTTTTTTGTCCTCAAAATTTGATTTGACTTAACTTTTGTTAAAATTCAACTTTATTCTCAACATTTCAATATTTTTGTTAAGGTGCAAAATGACAAAAAAATTCCTTTTCTAACAACTGAATTTACACTTTTTTCTATACATTTATTTTTTAATTCATCCCTGAAATTGATTATCTTTTTAACCTTTTTTACATTTTTTTCCAGAAAACTCATCTAAACTTTTTTCTTTGCATCAAATTTTTCTTGATATTTGAAACTTTAAAAAAATCTTTTACAATCATTTCCACCTTATTCTTCTGTAAGTCCATTCCTGGCCCTGACACTGTTTCATACTCCATACATCACTTTAGTTGGGTGGGTTCGTGTTAGTGGTAGAAGGGATTCTGCAGGTTTGTCTTGGTGTCAGCCATTACAGCTGCACATTTCACTCATTAGTTTATCCTTGAACTTGTAATCAGTGTGAAATGTGCTGCTGCAGAACTTGACTGAGAGAAAACCTGCCGCCTCTGCCATCCTCCACGAGACATGAGGAGTTTCCTTTTGTTTTTAGCCTTGAAATAATTTAAAAATATCTCTTTCCCTTTAAAAAATAAGGACTAAAAATTACACTGTGTTCCAAAAAACAGAGCACAGATATTCTAGCAGCCATTCAGGAGGCTGTCTGAGGTGTCAGGGATTTTACAGGACAGTTGCACAGGTGTCAGGTGTGTTACCTATCAGCCAGTATGTCCTCTGAACTTCAGCAGAAGGAGGGGGCAGTGGAATAATTCCCGTCCAAGAGGTGCAACCTCTGAAAAAAAAGAGGAAAGCAGTCACTATTGTGTTTCTGTCAAAAGAAACGGAAGGAATCCCCCCCTAATGACCCCACAGCTGACGTCTGACCCTGATGTCTTGTTTTGTAAGCTAAGAGACAGAGAGGCAGAGAGAGAAAACTCTACAGCTGTCTCACCTTTTCTGCAAAGAAAGCGTCAGACATCTGCAGATGCAAAAAGGGGCCGCATGCCTTGTTTTGTGTTTTCAGGATATCCTACACCCACTGCAGGTGCAAACGCATGTAAAAGGTGTTACAACATTCCTTTTTTGTTTCAACAAACACCATCAGAAGGTGTTTTAGCAGGTAAAGTAGCTCGCCCTGCCAATCAAAGCACCGTAAACGTCTGTGGTCAGGGTGAAATCACAGCTCAGTTGGGTAAAAGGTCAGAATGCTTATCTGGAGCCGCTCCTCATTTGTCTTTTAGGAAAATAATTAAGAGGAAAATCACACTCGTCTCCTGCCGCCTGAGTCAGCAGAGGGGAGAGTTCAGCGTGAGATCGGGAATTCAGCGTGAAAAACACGAGTCTCTCCAGAGGAGCAGAGAGCTGCCAGGTGGGAAGGAGCCGCAAGATCCTCCCTGCTGCAGTAAAGGTGTAAAAGAAGTGGTCTGAAACACAGCACCGATCCAATCACTGTTCTCTGATTATTTACTTCATCTAGAGCGACTACAGGCTCCATTTTCTCAGCTAACACTACAAATCACACATGCTTTATTGTTGTATTTTACGTGATAATTAATGCAGTGTTGTCACAGTGTTGTCACATTGCATCAGTACACTCACAGAATAATAAATCACAACCCAGTTTCTGACGGACGGACCAAATATCAACAAGATATTTATGTTTTTAAATGTTGAAAGGAGCACACATGATATGAATAAACCGTCTTTAGAGTATCTGTTGGTTTTAAAAATGAAGATGATGTGTTTCACTTACAGAGGCGGAGCAAGATTTCTTGAGTGGGGTGGCCAAACCAGGGCTCTGGTGGCCAGGCGTGGTGAATATTAGACTTAGGCTAGACTAGGAGAGGATACTAGCAGCCTGTTGAAACACCCGCAGTTGATTTTGATGTAAATGCAGAAGCAAATTGAAAATATGATGTTTCTGTTGACCGACCACTGATAACAGATCTTTGCTATGCTGCTGTAATTTTAGAATTTCCCCTTGTGGAACTAATAAAGGAACATCTTATCATGATAGCTAAATACAGTCCGAAGAAATAGTTAGCAGGTACAATTTCTGTAAACCTATCATGTTTTATAGACTCACATTCTTCCAGCAGAAACAAAAATACTGACAAAATGCGACTGTGTGAGAGAGAACAGCAAGAAGCTGAAAATGAATAATAACATATGTGCGTTTTAGACTCCAGCACGTGTGATGAATTAAGTTTTTATTTGTCTCACCTCGGGTATGTGTCAAAACTTCCACCGGCATCCTCCACCGATCCTGCATGTGGCGTCTTGTCCAATAACCTGCCTGCCATGCTGCGTTTCCCCGGCAACCGTGCAACAAACACGCTAATGACACAGATCATGACAAAAGATAACACCTGAAGACAGAACGTTTATATAAATCAAGTGCAAACACAAACACAGAGACAGGGGAGCATTTTTACAGTAGACACTTTGACAGTGATTTCCACATTTGTGTAAATACAGTTGTCACTGAGTCATCCCCGAAGACAAGGTCGTTTGTACGAGGAGCTTAGAAAACAGAGAAAGTCATTTCACCTGGTATCAAAGCAGGTAAACATGTTGAAGATTTAAGAATGACAGCCTCCGAGTCCCTGTGAGAGGACGCCAAAGCACAGAGCGAAGACTTACAGAAAGGTTAGCAGCTGTTATCAAACGTAGAAGATTCACAGTGTCGGTGCGTGATTTCAGTGAAAGTACAGATATGCAACTGTTCACAGGCTTCATCAGGTTTAAGACTAACATGTGATGTGTAGAGTGATTTCAACTGTGCAACAAATAATTACAAGGATTTAAAAAAATAAAATCAAAGAACAAAAAAACAATTCAGTTCAACATTTTTCTGATTTTTTTCTTAATTTCTTTACAATAAAAAACATAATTTACATTTTCCCCATAAAGCAATCAGAGAGTTTATAAAGTATAAAATTTCTGACCTACATATGAGAAAATAAAGTTTACAAAAATACATTTATCCTCATTTCCTTCAGTGGTTCATGTACGATCCTCATTCAATGCATTTACAAATGCCCTCCTCCATCTTCATCCTTTTATTTTTATTCAGTTTAGATTATAAAACAATTCTCTGATTAGCCGTGTATTTGGGAAAAGAAGAAAATGAAAAGGCACAAAACAAGGCAAACTTTTCAGCAGTGTAAATTAGACCTTCCAGCTTTACCTAATTTGCTTCGCTTATATTGTTCTTTATTTGGTTTCTATTTGCAAAAATCAGATTTTGCTTCAGTTACATCATCAGCCGAGGTTTCAAGGTGGGCTTTGCAGATACTGAAAATCTGCTCAGCTCTTGAAAATTTCTAAAAATTTTCAGGTGTTTGACTCTTGAAGTTTGCAGCATGAAGTGTTCGCTGTCAGATCTGGTAGATGTGGAGTCTCGAGAGGCTGGTGAATAAAAGCACGCTGCAGAAACAACACTGTGATGTAAACGACATGATGGCCTGGGACCCCACTCTAGTGATGGTTATTGTATTCATATTCACGCTATATGCATAGATGGGGCCGACTTTGGGGTTTAAAACCGAAGCTTATGTGAATTTAAAACAACTGCAGTTCCTCAAACGTCTATTTCAGACTTATTTTATAAACACAGGACTGGTCAGGTAAAGGAATTCCCCCTGTGGTGATTCAGACTGTCTCAATACCGCAGTGGACGGTAAATTTCACATCTTTTGCCATCAGGCTGTTTGATAGTAGCCTCTTCAGATGACAAACAAACTTGTTTTATACTAAAAAACTAGTGTCTCAGTTATTTACTATTCTTCTCTGTGTAAATGTCCATTATAATGATAGATCATGTCGTGTTAGTTTATTGTCGTAAACAAATTTTACTCGCATGATTAATCGTCCTTTTCTGTAAACGCGTGCTGACTGCTCACAAACACATTTACCACAATTCATTCAGCTTCGTTCAGCTTCAGCGGGTCCGATCTCCGCATGCCAGGTAGCAGAGATCACTCACAGGCCTTTATTGTATGTCAAAATCTTACAATCTGTTGCCATGGCGATCTCTGGCTCCAGCTCATTCACACTGATCTGTGGGAGTCAAAGCAGAGCAAAAAAAAAAAAAAAGGTGAAACTCAAATATCTGGCTCTGACATGAAACGTTTACATGCAGGATTTATAGACTGAAAATGAATCATAGACGGAGATTTGCTGCTACTCAAAGATCTGAAACGGTTTCATTTGTTACTTCAAAAAAGCTTTAAATATTAAATACTGCTAATGTGCAAAAGGAGCCAATTTGGCAGATTAAAGTCTAATTTGAGGTTTGTATCTCCTAATATTTGAACCAGAGACAGATGGCTGTTGGTGTGAGCGGCGGCAGAATCCTAATCAGACATCTTGGTAGGTGTGAAACAGGGAAGTGGGACAAACTGAGGAAAGGGAGGGTTCGAGGGGGAACAGGGCATTCGTGTTGCTTTTTGGGGAGATCTTTTTTTTTTTGTCTGCTTTTCTTGCGAAAGTGCAAAAAGGACTTGTTAGAGACAAACAGGCCTGCTTTTCACAGGACTGTTGGCGGCACATATGTCTGAAGTTTTCTGCCATATGGCTGTCGGAGATATTTCAGCGGTAATTAAATCCTAAACATTATAAAGCCAGAGCTGGTTGGCTCGTGTCAGGAAGTCAGTTGGCAGAGAGGAGACAAAGAGAGCGATGGGTTGGAATTTAAAAATCAAACGGCCGTTTAATCAATAAAGCGACACACAATGAAGGTAAAAAGGCTAAAGTTAGATCTCAGTCTGGTGAATGAAGGCTACAGAAGTTCTGTGCAGATCACTACAGAGCAGGTTAGGTCTCAGAGGGCTACGCCTCATTAGGAGGGAGGGACTGTGACAGGCTCAAACTGAAGAGGTCAAAAGACTGAGTCATCAAAACCAGTCTCTGAAAAGGAGTCGTGGCTGAGAGGAGGAGAGCAGAAGCATTCAGAGCTGGAGTAAAAAGAGCTTTCTGTGTTTCTGTTCATTACTGTGTCGTTTGTTCAGGATGTTACACTTAAAGATCTGAGCAGTTATTTTCACTGCAATAGTGTTTTTATAGAGCTCTGATACCAGCGATGGTCAACTAAATGCTCGTCCTAATCAGATAATAATATCAATGACTTTCCTAACTAGCCTGTTAAATTTCAATTCTCATTTGAACACCTAGGAAATGATTATTATCATTATCATATCTCTATGAAAGTAGAGACAAAATAAAAAACAAGATTTGGAGATCAACTTAAGGAAAAGTTTTGATACAACCTGACATGTTAGATGATGTCCCTAATGCATCTTCAGTACATAGGACAGAGTTATACCTGAGACATCTGTGGGAAGAGACTGATGGCGAGGGGCAGAGCCAGGCCGAAGGCAGCAAGACACACCAGGCTGTGGACGGGCAGGACCAACCTCCGCTGTCTCTGCAGGAGAGGGAGCCTGGAGGGACAAAGACAAGAACAAATCATGTGATTTATCAACGTTACAGTCTAACAAGGTTTGGGGTGTATCCTCCTCAAACTTCTACCACATAACAGGGTGAAGGAACAGCAGGAGAACACAGCTCACTCTTAAACTAAAAGTGCTCTATATTAGTGAACTTTTCAAAACTACAACCCCATTTCCAAAGAAGTTATGACGCCGTGTGAAATATTGATCCAGAAAAAGATGGTTTGCAAATCATTCAAAGGCCTGTACGCAATTTAAAATAGTGCAAAGACAACAATAAGGTTAATTTGAAGCATAACTGGGTAAGAAAGGAACATTTCAGAAAGGCTTAGTCTCCATCATCATCTACAGGACATAAAATCATTCAATAAAGTTCAGAGAATCTAAAGAAAGGGGTCAAGGCACAAGAAAACCATACCAGGTGTTTGTTTGGGTCTATAAGTGTGAGTATTAGTGTTTCATGCAAAGAGGAATAATATCAAAACATGATCAGCCCTGTTTAAGATGGACTGAGGCAGAGTCCAAAACTGTCCTGTTCCTCTTTTTGGAAACCGAGGATACTTTGTCCACCGCCATGAAGAGGTGAGGGATCACTCGGCTGGTTATCAGTGCCAGCATCTTTTGTTTGGGGATAGTATGGGGGTGTTTACACATCTGAGAAGGTGATGCTGAACAACATCTACAGGTTTTGGAGAAACGTGGTGCCGTCCAGACAGGATCCTGCACGAACCACAACAGCACGGCTCAGAAGTAGAAGAGTCCAGTTGCTTTTTCATTGATCAATAACATTTCCCAGCTGTTTGCTTAATTTTCTTTCACTATTTCCAACATGAGATTTAAATGACTAACAAATTCTGCTTTTATGAACTATTTAAACACTTTACCAGTTGATATGGGATTGGGGTTGTAAAAATCCTGTGTGCAAAATCCCATATGAATGTACTCCATACCTTTCAAATATATCACCATCAGCTGTGAAAGCTGCAACTTTTCCAACAAACAGACTATTTGAGGAAATTTTAAGGCTCCGTCTCCAGAAATACATTTTCTCATCTCAGCCCAGATTCCTCCTCCTCCCTCCCAGCTGCCCCTCCGTAGGATAATCCCCTCTTCAGTGTGCGGGACAGTGAACTCAGCGGGAGCTTGAGAAAGAGCTGCTCCATATCTCCTCCACCAGCGACGCCTCTCCCCCTAACGAGGAGAGCTACTGCCTAATGAGGGAGCTCATTAACACATATGGCTGCCATGGTTTAATTAGGCTACACACACACATACGCACACATACGCACACACCGAAACTTGCAGATCGTAAAGCTGGATCGTAAAGAGGAATGTCAATGAGAGGAAAGTTGTAACTATCAAAAGCTTTTTTTTCTCTCTGCGCTTGTTCGTTTAAAAAACCTTAATATCAAAAATCTCCACATTTTTTAAACTTAATGACAGGATCTGATAGAATAAAGGCTCTACAGTAACTTACATGGACTACCCTGGCTGGTGTCTATATCCTGATTGAGATCCTGGACAGGTTTGACTGTTTACATGAACCTCTGACACCCCCTGACTGAGCCTCCATCAGCCACAAGAAGATCAATTAATGTCATCTCCCTGCTGACTCGTGTCAGACACGGAAACACAGACCGCACTTCTGATTTCAACAAGAAATAAATAAATACTGTATATTATACTGTATGTTACACTGATGACAAACTAACATAACACTGAGATATAAGGCTGCAAGATACAGTGTTGGACACTTGTGCATTAAACCATGTGAACGCTCGGTCAAAAGCTGAATTTTCCTGAAGGTTGAGAAGTATCTGATGAAGTTTTCATAAATGTCAGAGTCCATGAAATCAATTTTTGCATAAAAGCGTAACAATCGTTTGAAACTGTTTGCACTTCTGGAGATGGAGCCTTAAAAAGTTAGCCTAAAGTCCACCAGTAGATACAGACTTCTTTTCCTGCACCTGCTCTAGGGATGGGAATCGAGAACCGGTTCCAAATGGTTCAATCGACATCGTTTACATTATATCTTAAAAATTCCCTTAACGATTCCTTTCTTACGGGTGCGTTGAAAAACGGTGAGCCAGTCGACATGAACGAGAACAGAAGGAAAAGGTACGAAAAGTAGGCAGAAGCGAAATAAAGCGTGGATTCATTTTACAAAGAAAGACGCCAATGGGTTTTGTATGGAAGTTTTTAGTTTGTGTAGCTTGGACTAACTGAGTTAGAAGCGCGTAAAAAAAACACTCGGCCCGACCCGAAAAACCCTAAAAATTTTGCGCACGACTCCGCCCAGCATAGAAGTGTCCTCTTTTTGGGGATTCACAATAAGGTCACCATAATTTGACTTAAAACTGACCGAAGTAAATGCTGTACAAATTGATTGTTGTTTGATTATTTTTTGGCATACATCTTTTTCTGTTATCTGAGACTCAATAAAAAACCTATAGTCTACTTTTTCTTTTTTTTTAATTCAAAGAAAGGCATTGATAAGGGAATCATTAAAGAACTGAATCAATAATGGCATCGATATCGATAAAATACTATCAATTCCCATCCCTAACCTGCTCACAGCGCCAAAACTACCACCGACATGGAATCACTTTACTTGATTAGCTAGCACTCACCTGCACCCCATGGACACACTGTAGGGTTTAAAACAAAAATAAGCTTAAAATCTGTTACTTCACATACTGTATATCAAGAATCAACTAGAGAGTTACATCATTAAGAAAAAACTTTTCCCCTGATATTCAGATTTTCTTTTAACCTGGCCTGCACTTCTCAGGTATTTCATTAACCCTTATTTACAGTTATTTTCTCATCTTTGCAGAACCCGCTGCACTGCGTGTAAAGAGGCATAAGCACAGGAACAATTTACCTGGCGCAGGTTTCTAATGCGTACACTAATCAAACACCTCGAGAAGAAGGTGGGGGTGATTATGAGCATGAAAATGTGTCAGAATCGAATAAAAAGCCAGAGAGTGTTTGTTCGTCAGCAGAAAACAAAGCAGTTGTTTTAATACTTTGGATCTTTTCCTACAAGTTTACAGAGTTCAAGAATTTCTCTTTTCTTTGTGCAACATTTAAGGTCAACTGCAAAACTACTGTGGAGACATAATTTACAGTTTCAGTCATGTTTTAGGAGCATGCTGTTCAGTCTGATAGTCTATGGTGATGGAATAAAAATACTAGGGTGCACAGTTCGAAACCAGCAGGAACAAGGAAAGAAGAAAACAGACAGTGATGAGTGTAATCTAATGAAAGGAGCTGGGAAAACACTTTCAGAGGTCTCATGAGGACTTCAAACTGACTCAGACCCAGAAGCCTTTTAATTCAACGATCAAATCGATTTTGAACAACATCATGGACATGCAGATGAGTCATCAGGGCTGTCATGATCCTGGAGGTTTTGAACTTTGACGTGATATTAGTGAAAATGTAATTGTATAAATATCTCATGAATATAAAGACACAGAAAATGTATAAATGTTCAGTATATACACTTCGTCTGTAGCCTCTCATACTTAGCAAGCTCTGTCCTTCACGAGCTTCACTGTCACTGCCCTCAATCTGCTCTCACCAGCTCAATCCATCACTGAGGGGCCGCACAGGGACCCGTCTCTGTCCCCTTGTTCTCGCTCCATTGAGAGCCACTGAAGGCGAGCTGACAAGAGAGGAAAGCTGAGCACGACTCACCTGCAACCACAGTCCAGCTCTCTCACACTCACCCCCTTCTCCTCTTTTACTCCCCCCCCATTCAGGCATCCAGCTGCCAGGAATCCCAAACACACCTGGGCAGCCGGCCTCGCTGCCTGAGCCCGCCTGCTCGGAGCGGTTGGGACAAGTGCTGTCAAGGATTTACAAAGATGGCTGCATTCCTCGACACACCACAGGCACAGTCAGGCCATCGATCACAGGACGTCCGTATAAACACATTGCATCATTAAGACTTCATTACGGTCTTATCACACAGCACTAAATCTCAGCGAGGGGAAAGGTTCACTGACTGCAGCAGCAGCAGCTCTGAGGACGAAGTAATCTGAGACTATGTTTTATTTAAAGATCCTAAATGTGGAGCTTTTTGATTCCCAGGAACAGACAACCTCACAGCTTTGAGTTCACAGGCAGACAAATATGATGAATACTCACTTTTCCAGGGAGGCCATGATCATAGGAGGGAGCACAAGAATCGGCATCGGTAGAACCACTCTGGTTAGAGCTGTTTCTAATAGAGCCTGAAACAAGAAACAAAAGAAATAAAGTTTATTTCTGATGCTATCGAAAAAAGGAGTGGTTTTTATCTTGAAATGTCAACATCTCATAAGCGACAGTGAGCATCAAACAACAACCCCAGTTAAATAAAAGTTAAGGTTTGATGTAAAATGTTGATAAAAACAGATTTAAAACATGTATTGAACTGAAAGTTATGCAAAAAAAGTAAAAAAGGAAATTTTTGATTGTTTTTTGAGAATTATATAAATGTAATGCCGACAGCATGTTCCATAACTTTTTGAACAAGGACCAAAAAACACGTAAAAAGTTCTGTAATGATCAAAAATCAACACCTAAAGAAATATCTCCAAACTAATGAAGTTTATTTGAAACTGAACAGTTATATGACTGGGTTTAAAAGAGCGTTACAGAGAGGCTAAGTCTCTCAGGAGTGAAGATAGGAAGAGGTGAATCACTCTTGTAAGAAACTGAGTAAGAAAATAGTCGAACAATTTCCAATTAATGCTCCTCAGAGGAGAAAATCCAAACATTCTAGGAATTCATCATCTATAGTACAAAATATCTTTAAAAGATTAAAGGGATCTAGAGAAATCTCTGAACGAATCTCACGTCTCTGCACCGTTTTCAAAGAAATCAAAGGTTGATAATGATTTGCAAACCATTAAATTCCGTTTTTATGAACATTTACTTCAACATCCAAACAGTTATTGGGTCTACACATTGACAGTATTTCATAAATCAACACTCATGACCAAACAAATCTACATCTGAAGTGTCAACACAGAAAAGAAAGCCTCACACTGAGTAACATACATGCCTGGCAGCTACTTTGGATGTTCCCACCACGTTCCCGTTGTCGTCGAGCACACTGATGCCCTCCGACAGCTCCGAGTGTCTCATGAGCACCACGTTGCAGACGTTTGCACTCGCTGTGAGGAGGTGAGAATGTTATCAAAAATTAAAGAATGAAAAATGAGTTCAAACGTTAAAAGAAAAGGCTGGTTGTTGCCCGAAGGTACTGTTTTAAAGCTGATTATATTTGAGAGAAAAGATGATTTTTCCTTTTATTTCCCAGAAAAGTGTCAAAGGTGTACCTGCATTTATAAAGACACAGACCCCTGCTTTAATGAAACCTTCCAGATAGTTCATTACTGCCCTGATATTATTATTATTTTTTTTTGTAGGTCATCAAAAGGCATCTATATTCATTTCAGTGTGACTTATAATTGGTTAAAAATTCCTTACAGGAGCTTTAAAATGTAAGTCAACCCATAGGTGGACGTACAGCAGTGTCAAGAGATGTATTCACAAAAGCCAAAATCAACACAAATGTATGTTAATGCAAACGGACCTTTCTCCTTGACTCTAATAGGAATAAGAAAAACTCATTTTAGAGAGTTAAGTGATGTTGCTTTAGGCCGTTTTAATTTAAGACAACAGCATTCAGAGTTATCTTTACTAAGAGCTGCAGGGCTGACAGGTCGCTTTGTGAGGGGAATTCAATTGACTGAGCAAATAGCTCTTTTTACCTAAAAGGTTTTTTTTTTTTAATATCCAGACCAATTAACAGAGGGGACAGACTGAAAGACTCTGGTAACAAAAATCTATAAAACCAGGACTAATTTTCAAAGGACTGTGTTCAATTATTGATTCAATTTTATAATTAATTTGACGCCTTTATTAATATAATCACAGTCAGTCGAATTTAATGCTGAAACACGAGGCTATAATTTGTAATTATTTGAAATAATTACATTTTGCATATTCTAATTGCCATCTAATAACTAGCAGTACACTCATGGAAATTAATCCAAGAATTTTTCACGTAATTGGCTTCCTAAATATCACAAATAATGACAAATATTTTCAAAAGACAACAAATTAATTATCCTCATACATTTCCTGCAGCGGTCGAGGTCTTTATCATCCAAATGAATGACAGGCAGCCGCCTGATTGGGTTATTACAAATAAATCCAGCCTTAAGTAAGCAAACAAAATCAAGCGGGTGAAAAATCAAACAGCACTTTACTTTCGCTCGCTTCAATTAGCCATTTTAATTACCTTTTATATCGGCCTACCACAACAACAGCAGCAACAACAATGCACAAACAGAAATCAGGTAAATGAGGCCTTGACATAGACGCCACTTTGGGGGTAATTATCCAATTTGTTTGCAGCAGCAGAGTTCTAACAAGCAGCCAATTACCAGGCAAAGGCTGCACTGTGGAAACCTGTTGAATTAATTGAAAGAACCACCGTGGTAAGAGAGGGGGCAGGCAAACAATTTAATTATGAGCCAGCAGCCCGGGGCATTCTGGGACACGGGTCTATACCCCTGGGTGCGACTGTGTGTTTGTGGGAAAGAGGCATGAAATCAGCTCAGCGGCTTCACATATGTCTGACAATCTGAGCTCTAACACGTCTCTAACCCTGCCGAGGAAAAACGGACTGTGAGGAGCAGAAAGGAACCAACCAGCCGGCTGAGTTTGGCTCTCATACAGAAAATCATAATCCTGACAGAGCAGCTCTTTACGAACCGTATCATTTGAACTCAAGCTGTTAAAAAAGACCTCTTTAATAAAAACAATCACATTAAGCCTATTTGGCCAAAAACAGACACATTTAAAACCATTTTAACCACATTTTTTCATCACATGACCATTGCAGCGGAAAAACTGAACTTAAATTCGACTTGTGGGCTTAGTTTAAAATTTGTAGTTTTATAATTTTCCAGCAGATGGTGCCATTTTTTCATTTGGGTCCCCTGTAGCAAAAGCAAACAGTTCTTCTTGGAACCACTAGGGACAGTATTCAGACCATCGAAGACCAACGTGCCTTTTCAACTTAAAAATAAAGAGTTTAAGTTCTGAAAACAAGTATGTTTTTTTTAACTTATGAACAGGACTGAAAATGTAAGTGAGTATAGTATTTAAGTATAAAATAATAATTTCATCGCACTTTCTGATGTGTCCACTGCTCAGTGTTACAAAGAAAGGTCTTTCATTCTGGTGCTTTTATGCTCTCTGCTGTCTTCGTACAATCACAGCAAGTACCACTCAAATTCTTAAGCTCTTCTTCATGTGAGCTTTACTAAAACAAAAAAGAAGAAAATAAAAGGTATTTTCTCAAAGATCAGGCCTTTTTTTCTGTCTTTTCCATCTTGTGATTGACTGAGCTTTTTACACTTACCCACAGCCGGGAAGGGGATGAACCTCTGCACCAAAAGCCTGGTAGTTGGGCTGAAGCGGCTGGCTTTCTTAATTAGCAGGTTCAGCCCGACCTGAAAAAAACAGGCGCGCATGATTCAGACCATCAGACAAGTTATTAAAAGTCAATGAAGCAAACTTGGGCCCACTGGTCATTTACAAACACTGAATAAACAAGTTTTGGTCCCCTAATGACTCGTGTGGTATGGTTCAGTAAAGACAGGTTCTGGTACTACATTGTCTTATTTGGTATCATGAGGAAAAAGAGATAAAAATATTCATCTCTCTGCAGTGACCATCAAACACCGCACTTCATTTTAACACACTGGAAAGCTGTGGTCTAAAGGCTCCGAGCGCCGGTGTACCACACCATCACCACCTCAGCCTCCAGCTCTCCCAGGCCCAGCAGGGGGTCGTCACTGGAGCAGACATTTAATTGGAGAGCTCCTGCCCCCCTCCACTCTTGTCGATCCACCCTCAAGGCACCCCATGAGTTTTTTCTGTGCTTGGTGCCGTTGTCAAGCCTGAGGGCAGCAGCCGGATGGGCGCCCAGTGGGACCAGTAATTGGCTCGGTTTGAGCCCAGTATCCACACCAGGAGCTGTTTCAGGCAGGTGTGTGAACGTGTGTTTCACTCTTTTGACATCCTGGTCTTTGATGTTATTGAGGTAAGAAACGAGGTCAAACTGCTGAGGGCGTCTCGAAGCTCCGTTACAAAGGTTTCTGCTGGGGTCTGAACATTTTAGAATACTCAGATTTAACTTAAAGCTCCTATAAGGAGTTTTCAGCAGGTAATGAAACGATCTAAAATAAGTAATGACGCCTCCACAGGTCACATGACTGATTATTTCTGTATTGTTATTTTAGGGCTTTTAATGGCCAACCAAAGGGCAGGTGTCAGGCAAGTCAAGGAATGGAATGAAATGGAAAAAGAGTTTAACAGAACAAAAAATAGTGAGAAAAAAGATAGTGTGAAATTATTTAGTTTTTTAAAAGTTAATAAAAATTAAACGAAAAAAAAAAAAGAAAAATATTTTATGAAAAATATAATGTTCCAAATTTAACAGAACAAACATGTTTAATAGAACAAAAATAGTTAACTAACGCTCAAAAAATCATAAATTAAGAAGAAAGATAATAAAGTGTAAAATTACTTTTTTTTAAGTTAATAAAAATTTTACAAAAAAAAAGAAAAATATTTTATGAAAAATATAATGTTCCAAATATGAGGAAAATATTCAGCAAAATAGAAAAAAAATTTAAAATGAAAATCTACAACAAAACACAAACCAAAACAAAAAAATGTATTAGCTTCATAAAATGTAGGAATTTCAATGTTTGCTGATGTTTTTTTGTGTCTATCTAAAATTTTACAATGTAGCGCAATTTTTCCATTGAAAGCATTTTTGTGTCATAAAATATTTTTGTGTTATAGAATTTTTTCCCGTTTGGAAAAACAAAAAAAAGAATTATTTCAAACATTTTTGGGTCGTAGAAAGTTTTTTTTTTTTACTTTGTTCGTATTTCATTTCTTGTAAAATGTTGTTTGATTCCATGAAATATTTTCAGGTTTTGTACATTTTTGTGGGTTCAATTAAACATTTGTGTTTAAAGAGATGATTTTAGCATCCATGAGACATTTTTTTACAGTCATGATTGTTGTGCAGTTGACCTACAGGGCCACCATACCTCTGACATATGTGATCACTCGGTAACGAATCTACAAACCCGAGACAGAGGATTTTACAGACATACATGTGAAAACCTCCAACCTTCGGCTTTTAAAGTTTTCGGCTTTTCTTTTGTTTTGCTCCTGACATAACAGACATACTGATCAGTAAATGTCTGAGCTGTTGCTGTCAAGACAAAATATGGAGTCAAAGGGCTTATTCAGCGTATGTTCGGTACTCACAGCGATGGAGACTGCGCTGGTCACTGCTCCGAGGTATCCCTGGACAAATTTAGAAACTGGAGCCGGCTAAAGTGAGAGGAAAATCGAAGGATAAATTATGTAAGAATTTCATTAAGCTCATACACAACTGTTCATACAGAGAGGGCCTGGGTTGCTTTACTGATTTACTGTTAAGTTACCTTCGAGGCGTTGCGGTTGCAGTAGTTGACACAGGCATTGTGACTCTGGTTTAACCACTGCAAAGGAAAAACAAGTCAAACGAAGAAGAGAGGATACAACATTTCCAGGCATAACTTAACAAACTCTTACTTATAATAGATGTTTCTGTGGTATAATTTGTGATATTAATTGCTGGTGGTCTTGTCTGCATTTTGGGGTCATAAGGAGGCAGCAGTATCAATTTCTGTGGTTGTTGCATAACCACATAAAAATTCCTGACAGGAGCTTTAATCTGATGCAGAAATCTGCAAACATAAACAGACATATCTTGAAATGAATTACGCAGCATTGTTAAATACTTGATTCTGATTGGTCAATACCCTGCAGCAACAGTCTGTTCTTTCTTGAAACGGTGTGTAAAATATGGATGTATTTACCTGCCAGAAGATGGTCGACACTAACGTTTGATTTGGGAGGAGGAGGCCGACAACCTGCCCAGAGATAAATCTTTTTTTAAACAGAACAAATTCTTAACGTAAAAAGACAAAAATTACAGAAACAGAGGATGATGGTTGATTGGACTGCACACCTTAGTTTAAAACACAACATTTAATAATTCAGTTTATTTGTGAATAACTATCTTTGCTGCCTTGGACGACATTTGTGGATTATAATAAACAACAACATGAGCTTTTTAAATGATACATGAATAAAAAGGTCTTACCACTGGTGTGCCAAAAGGGATAAAACCTGTTCAAAGAAAGAGTTTATGAATAAATAAGTCAGGATTCACATCGTAAAGTATTGATCTGTACATGTTTAATAGAGCAGTAGGATTTTAAGGCTCCTTCCCATTTGTCTGAGATATAAATGTTGTTAATGTGAAGATCTAACTGTGTGTACACCTCCTCTCTCATTTCTTCTCTTTCAACACTTTAAAAAGCAGCTTCACAAAAATGTGCTTTAAGATTGGACCAAAACACTCATACGCTCCTCCAGAGACCTCGAGAACATCTCGGTCACTGTGGGGGAGACGTTTTAATCAGCGCCCAGCTGAGTCCGACCTTTCCCAGACAACCTGAAGAGCCCCGTGGAGTTGTGACAGTTCCCGGGGTGAACGATGCCTCCGTGTTGGACCACATAACAAGCCCCCAGATCCCCCTTCCCCCCCCCGAGGCTCCCGAGATACTGTACCTGACATCCGAAAGGGCATGAGGACCTTCTCCCCGGTGTCAGGGTGGATGATGGCCTGTAATAGGAGCATGATGATCAGCATAAGACGATAATGAGGACTGAATGATCAAGGTTATTTCTGCTAAACATGTTGAGAAGAAAGTTTTACTTAAAGAAAGCACAATTAAGAAAACTTTTTTAAAAATCTCAGCTTTAAAATCTTAAATTTACACACCTAACACAAACTACAACGTCCTCACAGTGCAGCATTCTCGCTGTCTCAAGATAGACTGATAGAAATCTCTTTCCCTTACTGCCCTGACATCGATGAGATCAGCTGATTGAAGAGGAACGGAGGATTTTTCTTAGACCTTTTGAAGACAGCCACGAGCATGTGAAGAATGAGGGGGGTGTCGTGTCTAAATATGTGAAGGATGTCCCAAAGATCTACAGTATATAGTCCAGCAAAACGGTTTCATCTTATCTGACATATACTGTACAAAAACACAACTCAGAGAACCACTATGTTTAACCACTGACAGGCAAAGTTTTCACGGTTAAATATACCCTGAAAAAGTGCCTAACAAGGCTCTTTATTTTACATTTTTACTAATAATTATAGGTACAGAAGTCTTTTCTAGTTATGTAGTTTAAACTTAACACAGAGGTTTTGTTCTTTTATTCAGACTTGATTTGTGCTGCACTTTTCACAAAATGATTTAACCCAAGGCACTCTAAACAAATTAAATACTTTGACAAATGTGGCCGTTGACTAACTAATCATTAGAGCGTGATGAGGAAACATTAGAGGTGAATTAAATATTAATGTTTCTGAAAGAAAATCAAACAACAATAACTGGATTCATCCTGAATCTCTTTGGTGAACATTGGTGTTCAAAAGTTTAAGATTACACAATCTTAAGTTAGTTAACATTAAAAAAACTATCAAAAATAGTTGACTCATCTGATAATTAACACTTTTGTAGATCTATAAGTATGGCTCTTACTACAGCTGACTGCGTGTGCACCTGCAGTTCACTGACTGTCAGATATCTTTGGAAGTTGGCACTCTCTGCTTATTAGCACCAAAGTTAATGTATCCACACTGGGACAATTCCACATGGAGGGCATGAAGCACACATCAGCAAAACCACTTATTATTATCTATTTAGACTCATCAATGCTGACATCATGTTTCTGTGTAAAGTTTTATGACTTTTAGAAGTAAAACAACAGAACTGCAGCAGTTCAATCTTCTAAAATTGATTCTTTGAGAACTGAACAGAATACAGATTACATGCAAACTTCTGCACATGTTGCTGACAACAAGATGTCAAGTGGGGTACATGACACCCATGGCCCCCCTCTGTGCACGCCCCTGCTAATGTCATTCTAATAGAGTTTTTTTTTGAGCCACTTTGCAGGATATTTACCGTATAAACACATGAGTGTAGAGTCAAAGTGTTGAGGAGTGTGTGAGTGTTGTTTGCAGGTCCTCTGACCCGTAACGCAACAGGCAGAGATGATAACAGATGACGATAAGTTGGTCAGATAAGGAGCAGATAAAAAGAAAAACATCCTACCTGCTTTACTTTTTGAGCTTGCCAAAGCTGTAAAAACAAAACACAACCACTTTAATGGGGAAATATTTCATCCTGAACACAGTCACCTTACACTTTGAAATCCCCCCAAAAAGGCTTGCTTACACGACTTCAATGCCCTGACTAAGTTTGACGATCATGTTTTTGTGCCGTTACCTGTGCATCTGTCACTCCTGGAGGAAGAGTTCCTTGTTTGACTTGGTCGAGCAGCTTCACACATTCCTGAAGTCGTTTCTAGTTTGACAAAAATAGACAAAACTTACTGTACTGTTAAGAGTTTGAATGACACAATTTAATGACACAATTTTGCTGGAAAGGAAAATCAGAACCATTAAGATTATCAATAAATCTTAAGTCAAGAAATCCTTTAACATAATGTGCCTCAGAATAAATTCAGTATAAATAAGTCCATGTAATCAGGACTGTAGTTCATAAAATGCAAAGTCACACATATTCTGAAGTGTCTTTGTCTGTTTTTCCTCCTCCACTCTGTGAGCCCCACAGCTCGATGTGCGATAATTGTGTGTTCACGAAAACTTTCATGCTGGTTTTCAGTTGACAAATGAGTTTCCTAAAAGGTAATGAGCAGCTTTCTGTGGTGTGATCATTGTCTAATGCTGAGCAAAATACCGGGTCATGTGGCCCAATTTGTTCTAATGAGCTTGCCATCTGCGTACGTGTGTGTATATAAGTGTGTGTGCATGCAAAATCATCGCCGTCCCTGTTCCACTCTTGTCATTAAGGGCAAGTCGAGGCTCTGCCCAGCCCAGCAGGATGCAAGGTGTGTGTGAGTGTGAGTGTGTGAGAGTGCACACGCTCTCCACCCCTCCCAGCTGCCCCGCATGTCCACACCTCATCACATCCCAGGAGCTACTGCCGCTATTACTGTCACCAAAGAGCCCGCTAACAGCTCATTACCCAGAGCGCCCGAGCTCTGATGACTCCATGAGCAAAATTACCAAAACACAGCAGAGACCTGCAGAAGCATGAGGGGGAGGACCAGACTGGGCAATGTTCTGTAACCCAAAAGTTTAAAGATTCGACTCTAGGTACAAGAAAGTACTTAAAGGGGAACTTTGGTGTTCTTCAACCTGGGCCCTGATTTCCATGTGCTTGACTGATGGGGAGTACAGTTTCTGAAATCCAACCAGTATCTAGGGAGAGCAGAGCAGCCAAACAAAACCTCCTAATACAACACGATTACCATGATCATTAAAATGCTCCCTCTGAAGCTGTCCTTAAAACCTCTAGTTTCCCACTGTTGCCATGCTACAAATTCATTGTCATCCAGTTTAGGACTCTGACTCTGTCCCATAAGGTCTGAAAAGGAAATGATAAGAAAATCCTCAGCATAAAAAAACAGAGCAGGATGTTTTTGTTTGGTGTTTCATTTGTTATAAGCTTGACCAATTCGTGATGTCACAAATAATTGAGTAGATCTCATGCCCTCCTCACCAAGGTCTTGTGTGACTTTTTGAACAAGCTGTCCAGAGCAGCCAGATTACTCCAACAAATTTTTACAATTTTAAACTCTGCCCAAATCTAGTATTGAAAATCAAAAATTTAGGTTATTTGTGTTTTTAAGATATAAAAAGCATCATCCCATCTCTTTAATGCTACTTCTGTAATGTACCCACTGAGCAATAGACGGCTATTAGACATCTAGTTTTGTTTTAGACCTAATTTCAACCGTCTAGATTCTGTATATGTTTTTAGACGGAATTTAGACATTGCACTTTAACCCATTATTCGTAACTATTTATTTCAAAAAGCAACTGTGAGTTGCATAACTGATCTCCAAGCACTTAACCCAAATGATTATGATAGTCGTTGAGCAATATACAGTGTAGTATAGATACAGTCAGGTTTTAGACTTGGTCTAAACTTGGTCTAAATTTAGATGTCTAAAAAACTTTCATTTTTTGACCTGTGGTAGCCTGATTTTAGACTAGTTGTCTCGGCTATATTTAGACGTCTATTAGACCTCTTTTAGACCAACAAATGCTCAGTGGGGTTGCGTCAATGTACTTCTACAATGTACAGTCCACTTAGACAAATTTGGGATATGGGCATGGATAGAAGCTTGATTGTAGAGTCTCAAAGATATATCAGCACAGTAAGTAATCAACTTTAACCTTTCTCTCATAAAACAGTAAAACAGTAACAGAGCCATGGAATAAAAAATGAAGTTACCTCTGTCACAAACAGTGTGCTGGGGTCAATCACGTCCAGGAAGTGTCTGAAGCGACCAAAAAAAGTGTTCTAGGAGAGGAAACATCAAACATGATCTCAAATGAAAAGAAAAAAATGAATGAAATTCTTATTTTGTTACTATCATCTGTTTTTAGCATAAATTGATCAACATAAGACAACTCAAACTCTTTAAAAGTTTATCATTTTAAGAGCAAAATAACTTAAGGTCGTGAGATTCAGATTGAAAATTAACTCATATAAATGCAGTAAAAAGGATTCGGTGTTATTTCTTTAAGCGGAGAGATTCCAGCTGTCAGCTTGTACGCAGTCACATTACAGCATGCCAGCTGTTGTAACACACCAGGTGGAGCCTCCTCATTAATACCACTGACATACTGTTTCCTATCTGCATCTTTTAGGGACCTGAATTCACTCACACCATTTGCAATTACTTTCTCTAATGACGGTGCCAAAAATACCTTTCAATCATTTATTCATAACTGAGCAGAAGGAGTAATTTAGTAGCTTACTGTGTAGCTTTGAGTAGCACCATTCCTTCCCTAACTTCACTTTAATTACTCTAACAGCTAATTTGGATGAAAATCTGGTTTCTGACTCACTGCTGCACCGAGTAACTTCCTGAACATATGGATAGTTAGTAAAAACACAACTGGGGAATAGTTTTTTTAAATGTTCAATCAGACTGACACTGGCAGGTAGAAGTGTGAATTAATTTTACACTACTTTAGGTTACTATACACTATTTTAAGTTACTTAAAATAATAATCTTAACTCGATTTGACAGTGGCAAGAAAAGTGGATCTCAGGCCATTCACAACTTAATTAGCCTACAATTCAACTAATTCAAGTCTCCTTAAAATGATCCAAATGTGCAAAACATTTACTGAAAACTACGTTATTTATAAAGTGCATTTAAATTTGCACTTCATTGTTATTGTCTTGCGAATACATGTTAATGTTAAAGTGAATCTTGTCACTTGTTTACTGTAAGAATGACAAAGTCTTGTCAACAAGTTTTTGTATCATCCTTGCAGACGATAACATCTGTTGAACTAGTGCTATATGCAAAAAACAAAATATTGTATTAAAGTAATTTCGAATAAAAAACAAAACAGAAACAAACACTGTTACAAATTGGTTAGCTGTGATTTTAGCGAGGAAAACCAAATGGTAGAAATACTAGTCAAGAAAATGAAAGCAGTTAAATTAGCTTCCTGTAAACACGTTGTACAAACAAAAACACATTGGTCTTTTTTGTTTGTTTGATTTGCCTGTTTCTAAATAGTTAACCACAAAAACAAATTCGTATAGTTAATATATAAAATGTAAAATCGATCATATTTAGTTTGGATGTCTGCATTCGTTGACCCTTAAACCGTAAATTTACGTAAGGCTGCGTCCTCAGCGTAAGTTAAAAAACGTCAACTTTGTAAATTGACATAAACTGTGAAAAATGAATGCTTTTTAACTTGGCTGTTTCTACATAGTTCACAACAAACCCAAATTCAATCCGTAGACTGTATAATTAATAAAATCGATCCTAGATTTATTTTAGCTGGGATATCTGCATTGGTTGGGGCTCGAGCTCCTCGAGTTGACGGTTGAGATTCAAATCTTACGTAAGTTTACGTAAGGCTGCGTCCTCAGCTTAAGTTCAAATAACGTCAACTTTGTAAATTAATGTAAACAGTGAAAAATGAATGCTTTTTAACTCATTTAAAAGAGTGTCATTTTAACATTTACTTATCGTCGTTAATCTTTCAGTCTTTTGCTGGCCTAGAACCCACCAAAACGCTTCAATTATAGCATATTTGTGTTTGTTAAAGTGCTGAAACAATGAATGAGTGCAGCAGCAAGAGTGAGCAGTAAGAAACCCAATTAAAATAACGTTGAATAAACTAGAGTGAAGCTACAGGTGTGTGCTAATGAAGAAAAATAAGCCAGCAGGTTAAACATCTAACAGGTAAATCACTGCGGGTCGAATGTCACCGGCCTTCTCGTGTTTAAAGTGCACTTTTAAAGTGGGGCAGATGTCAGTGAAGTGAATAAAATAAAAGTACCTGGTCGAAACGAGACTTGCCAAGCTGGAATGTCGGATATTCAGACATGCTGCTGCGATTTTACACAAAACACTAATGCACACTGTCCCTTTTCCTCTGTGAGACGCTAAAACAAGCGTGTTTACTACAAACCTTGTGAACTACTACAGCTGCAGAGCCGTGTCCACTCACCCGGTTGCACCATGGGTAATGTAGTTCTTCCGGGGTCATGGGTAAATGGCTGTAGAAGCACACTACACTTCCCATGAGAACTTGCTTTGTTTTCAAATTATAAAGGAATTAAGCGAGAGGGGAGAATTGAGCATGAATGAATGGCGCATACTGTGATAGGAAACCCTAACATGTTGATTTACTGTGATTGTGACTGGAGGGGGAGATCTGTTTAAAAAGTATGATGTAGCCCCCTAGTGGTGGATTTAAGTTAAAATCAGAGCAGAGGTTGGAGGGAATAACATGATCCTCTGACAAGAACATCACCAAATTCAGTGTGGGGTTTCAAAACAAAGCTGTATCACATTTCAGATTCAAGGTACCAGAAAAAAAAATATTGGAGTGAATTTTAATTTTAAGGCTTGTAATGTGTGATATGTAAAATGAAACACCTGAAACCTCAGTGTATTTCCAAGGATGTACATCTGAATGCATTACATGATATTCAATTTCATGGGGGAATTAACAGGATATACAGGTGCACAGGTGTTAGGTTTTTAGATAGATCATGTGTCAGACAACAGTGGTAGAGTATCCTGTTCTGCAGAGAATGATGTTTGGCAATTTGTTGCCTATTAATCTGCATGATAAAACTTCAAAAATACTAATTTCTCCAGTGAAAACAGGCTTGGCGCTCAATTATAACATTTAACTACATAGAGAGCTATATCAAACTCTCTCTCAATTAAGTTAAATAATTAGGTTTTTCATTTCTTTTTAGGTTTTATTCCAACTTCTTCTGGAAAAAAGACTAAATATCATTCACTGTTATTTTTTTACATTCATTAATAGATAAAAACATAAATCCTGCTTTTCAATAAACTTTAAATGAGATGAAAAAAACCTGGATAAACACACGCACAAAGAAAGATTTACAACCAAACATACGGTGAGCAAGAAACACAAAATATTCTTTATTAAATATACAAAATTTGTGAAACAGAATTGCATCACGAATTGTAAACTTTCCAATCTTACACACTACCATGAGCACATTCCACCGGCTACACAATCGAGGACAAAATACAATCAGTTTAAACTGAAAAAGAAAAAGAAAAAAAAAAACGTTCAAAATGGAAGACATGGAAGAGGACGTTTATTCTTAAGTGCCGAGTCACATTTAAATATGTCTCTACAGTCGTCTATGCACTTTGTATTGCGATTGCACAGCAGAACTGAGATGACAAGACTGTTTTGGGATGTTTTTATTATTATTATTTTTTTGTATGCTTCAAGCTCACTGGCAAATCACTGTTGTTGTGTCAGAGTAGGCCGAGTGCTTAAGTCACAGAGCGATTAGAAAGTGCAGTACAGTGTAAAGTAGATCTAACTATACCGCTATGGACAGACAGGTACAGTAGGGCTATGCTCTGACGATTAAGTAGTGCAAGAACATCCACGAATGCTGTTAAAAGTGGCTTCATATCAGAATACTTCATGGTGTATCAATCTGCTCCATAGATTGAGTTTCAAGGCTTCTTTTTTTTTTTGGCGTGACTGCTCGTTTTCTATTGGTATGCATACATGTTATTCCTGTGCAGTGATCTAAACCATATCAGAAGAAAGCATGAAAAGAAACGTCAGAAAAAAGTGAACAAATGGCTTCTTTCTCTCTTGAAATTTCCCCCGAACCTTCACAAGGAAAATGAAGTGCTAAGATTTTTTTTCTGAACGTCAAAACAAAACAAAAATAAGGCAGCGTTTGGCATTTCAATACGGCATATATGCTGTAAAATGCGGTATATATCCCTTTGTAACACCTGGAAGCGGTAGCGATATGCGTGCACGAGCTGAAGCGGATGTGACACAAACACAGATGGGGGAGGGGGGGGAGTCAAGTACCGGCACGTCGCAGGCATTTTTCTCCACACAGGAGCCGCCGTGTTGATAACACACATTTAAGGAAGGCCGAAGCATGAGATCAGAGAAGCTGTGATGCGCTGATCTTGATACTGAGTGATACCTGTCTTCACCTGATAACGCCGTGACCCACACAAGAATCAGTTAGCTTATTAGGCTGAGCATCATGGGTAATTTCAAGACATGCCCATTGAACAGAAAGAAGAAAAATAAAGAGAAATAGGGAAGGAGGGAAAAGAAGGAAAAGAACAAGCAAAAGAGAAACAGCAGTCGTCGCTCGTAGAAAATGAAACCATTCACTTGCTGGCTAAGAACACTTTTGAACATTCAGAAGCTACAGTCAAGTTCCCAGTGATGTGCACCAGACCAGGCTGAGCTCACACACCACCTGTTTGGTTTGTAGTTTCAATAACTAGTCCGAGAACATGAGGGAACATTTGTAGAGTTTCAGCCCATGACAGGATGTACACCTTCTGAAAAGATGCTGACAACACCGGTTTCAATTTGAGAGAGAACGCTCTTACTTTTTATTCTGTGCAGTTTCAGAAGTTCAAGACCAAAATCAAGGCTTTATCAGGGTTTTTACCAACCAGAGGGATCTTTGCCGCTTTATCAGTGGATTAAATGTGAATTTTGGTAAACAGGAAGAGTGGGACCTGATGCTCTGTGGTCCTGGCTCTGAAAGAGTCCAGAGGAGGGTTTTTTGGCTTCATTTTTTAGGGGACAAGTCATCCATATTTACCAAATCACTATGCTGAGAGATTACTGCGATATTAGGTTTTTCTTCCTTGACTGGAGATCATCATGATGTTGCTGCTCAATCAGACCACGACTTCAGAAGCTGCTGCTGTGAACCCTGAATATTTCCAATCATTAATCTGTCCAGATATCTTAATTTTCTTTTAACTTTATATTTTTGATAAAATCCCACAACAATTCTCGAGATCTTTGGAGTAAACCAGGCTAGCTGTCTCCTCCTGCTTCCAGTCTTAAACCAAGCTGATTTCTGTCCAGCTCCACCTCATTAGTTGTTTTCTGGGCATGAAAGCGGTGCAGATCTGCTTACAGGGCTCCGCTTTAGTTACACAAACAAAGGTACTTCCAAATGTGTCGACCTTCTTCTTGAACCACAGAAAAACACTTGCAGAAACTTGAAGCATACTTGAGAACCACTGCGGTGAAAAACCTTTTGTTTATTTGTCTATTATGTCGTCGGTCATGTGTTAAGATTGTGTCATGCAGGAGTCTCAGAGATGAAGATGCTGCCAGAAACAACCAGATTCACAAATTTCAATTGATTTCTCATGACAAAACTAATGAGAGACAGTTTTTAAGGATTAGATACTTCTGTTTCTCTGAAGTTACAACTAAATAAGTTTGGCTTTTAAACTCTTGTCAAACTTCCTTACACTCGTAACTTGAGACATACTCCTTAAATTACACTAAACTGTAAAAATCCTCAGTAGCAGAACCCTGAAAAAGCTTCTAAGTGAACTGCTTTATGTAAATTCAAACTTATCTCAGATAACGAGGCATTTTTGCAGTGCATGAAAGCTGCATTCCTGCACTTGCAACGCCACCATGACATGAAAACAAAGGTTCACTCGGATAGATGGTTGTCTGGAGGAGGTTTCAAGTATCTGCAAGTTGATTTTCAGTCTGAAGATAAATGAACTGCAGCCTTGGGCAGCCTAGAGTGACTGAAAAACTATCTAATTCCTTTGAAAAGCTACAGAAGAGGCAAAAATTCACATTTAAAGGACAGGAAATTTGAGGTTAATGAGCTAAAACAGGTTTTTAAAATTTAGAAAATAACATCGTCATGGACTGAAACTCCACCTCTTCTTTCTTTTCCTGTGATAAGGTGATAGAAGTGATAAGTGAGGTGAAAAGGAGGAATCAACTGCTCTACAATCAGGACCCCAGCGTGGGAGCGTCTGTGTTTTCACTCCTCTGTGAACTAAAAACCAACCCTCTGTGTGAACCTGAAAACAACCTGAGGACCCGCTACATTCAGAAACCTTTCGGCGAGGACGTGTCTCAGCACAGTAAAGCATGCCGGCTGAAAACCTCTCCCTCGACATCTCTCAGTGCCTAGATATTCGTATCAAAAAGGACAGCATAGCAGTGAAAAGACTAAAGAGCTGTTGTGGAGGTTAGAGTGAACAGATGCGGACTGAACTGCAAACCCTTCCCTCCTCGTTCGTCACTTTAACTTGGACCGCACTTGCAGGAGAGTGGGTTTCTGCTCCATGATGCGCACCAGCAACGTGTCTATGTAGTCCTCCAGATCTTTGACCTGGGGCTTCAACTTCCTCAGCTCCACTTCGCGCTTAGCGAGCAGGACTTTCTGACGCTCGAACTCCGCCTTCTGCCTCTCCAGCTCCGCCTCCCGCTGCACCAGCAGGGCCACCAGTTCGCTGTGGTTCAGGTGGTAGTACGAGCCCGCGCCTTCTGTCAGAGACTGGACACAGAGAGGGAGGACAGACAGAGTGAATCTCTGAAAGGGAGCAAGATGCAGCATTTCATTGAAGATTAAAAGTTCTTCTAATTAAATACTTGATTCTGATTGGTCAAACCAGAATCAGACAACAGGCAGATTATACCACAATAACCTGAGTCACTGAGAGGATACACACAAATACGGTGTCTCATAGGGAGTTATATTCCAGTCTAGGAATCTTTATTTTTTTGCTCTTTATATGTTATTTAAATGTTTTCATGCTCAGAGTCAGCTGTTGTGTCTTCTCTGTGTCTGACGGTGTAATTTCCTGTCAAAGATTATCTCAGTATCTCCTCTCCATTCTCATCTCTTGCCTCTGAAAGGCAGTGTTGCTGTGTTTTTAACCGTCTCCATCTACCTTCTTCCTCTCGGTCTCCTGCTCGCTGATCTGGGTGCTCCTCCCCGCGTTGATGGTGGACTTGAGCTTTTCCAGGCCCGTGGCCAGCACTGACCGGCCCTCAGTCCGCTTCTCGTCAGCCAGCATGGCAGTGGTCAGGGGCTTCACAGGATGGGGGCTGGACGAGACGACAACAGGCAACACACAGAGACAGTCATGTTTGATATTTACCAGGGTAACAACGCCGTGGCTGGATTTAGTTTTACGCAACTTATTATGAATGTAAGATTTTCATTTAGCTGCCAAACTGGAGGTCTAAAGGTTTCTGGATTTTAATTTACATCATTTCCTCCTCTAATGTCTTTAATAAGTACCAGAAGTAAGATCAGGGGGTGTTAGGTGAAATGTGTGGAAGTTTTGTTTGAAATATCTGTGCTAATCTCAAATTTTATACCAGCAACACATTTGTGAAAAGTTGGGACTGGAGCATGTTCATCATTTGGGGTTCATTTCATACACTTGTGGCAGCAGTATCAAAAACTGTTCACAACGAGAGCTTTATAGAAGCAATTTTGAGCTGATGTGGTGATTCCCGCTACAGAGTCATTTCTGCCTGAGGGCCCAAAGATCCCAAACATCCATGGGACTTGGCCGTTTTGCACAAAGTATTCCCACTCTTTGCAATTTTACACACAGGAACATAATTCTGAAATTGTTGGCCTGTTTGCTCACGCAGCTGTGAACCTCCTCCCACCTTTCCCTCTGAGAGACTCACGAACTCTCAAATCCCTTCTGTACCCAAACATGTTTCTAACCTGTTTCAAATTAGCTTTAATATTTGAGAGATGTTTCTTCAGGTTGTTTTTTCACATTATGAAACTTTTTCAGTGTTTTGTTATGCCTGTCCCAACATTTCCAAACATGTTGCTGGCTTCAAATTAAAAAGAAGTTAAGTTAAGCTATTAAGGCTAAAAAGATGATACTGCGTCACTCTCATTTAACTAATCTTCTAACTTGTCATTTAGCTAGCTTTGTTCAGGTCAACATGACAGATCTTTTAAGAATAAACCTCAACGATACCACAGGAAATATGTCTCATCAGACCTCTAACTAATGAGCTGTCTAACTGCCGTGATTTACACAAACACAATAAAAATATCAGTCACATAAATATTGTTTCAGCTGCGGAAATATTCCAGTTTTGTCCTTTAGACCTCCAGAGTGACACAAGATACTGACACCTTAGGGAGCCCAGAAACCCTTGAATCCTGTGATCCGAAGAGGAGATGGTTAGACAGGTGTTAAGAGTCCTCATTAAAGGAAATACTGGTGAAAATTGAAATTAAATTAGCTCCAAACTGAAAGACTTAATTGCATGCGTTGGTGCTATCAAACTTGAAGAACTGTGTTAAATGTGTTATTACCACAAGGTGAAAAGGAAATGACACAACAACACCTTTTACGGCTTGAAAACAGGCTGGTTAGTGGTTGAGATCTTGGCAAATGAGTGTGCCTGTGTGAGAGTACTAGCTGGCTCTTTGGGGAGGGGATGTGAGTGTGTGTGTGTGTGTGTGTGTGTGTGTGTGTGTGTGTGTGTGTGTGTGTGTGTGTGTGTGTGTGTGTGTGTGTGTGTGTGTTTGGAGGGAGGGGGTGTGTGGTTGGAATCGGGGCAAAATAATAACTGCTAATTGGCCTGAGGCTCTGTTTCCCCTCCTGTTTCCATCGAGCCAGGACACACACAAGACACCTGCAGAAGAGTCCCTTTAACACCAGTGTGTGTCTCTGTGTGTGTGTTTGTGTTAACAAAGAGCTGAAAAAAGAGAAGGTTACACCACGAAAGGAGAAACCCCTCGAGAGTTGGCGCCAAAGAAGAAAAGCAGGCGGAAGCAGAGCGTCAAAAGGAGACCAACGAGGCGACAGGATAGAAATTTCTAGAAGTGGGAAAATGTGCTTCCTCTCCAGCTTTCCACTGAGCATGTGCAACCTCACCTGTTCTCCTCCTGATCGCCCAACTGCTGCTGTCGCGGATCGGTCTCCCGAAGCACTGGCTTTGGCGCCGCATCTCGTGCCATGCTGGGTGTTGAATTTGCCGTGGCGTTGGCATAGGAAGGGAGGGAAGAGAGCGCTACAGGGGAGCTACTTTGGTCAGGAGTTAAAGAGGAAGGAAAGGAGGTCAGAGAAGGGAGATTAGGGTCAAGTTGAGCGGAAGAGGATTCCTGTACGGCACCGGGATCACTCCCAAAGGAGGGCAGGAGGAGGTCGTCAAAGGCAGGAGTAAGGGTGCCCTCAGAGAAGGAGCGTTGTAGCAGAGCAACTTGCGCCTGAGGGCAGTTTGTGTACGGGTCACCTGAAACGGCTTGCTGACTTTCCAGAACTCCTCCAGAGTCTGTTATTGCAGCAGGATGTACTTCCAAACCAAAATCACTCCCTTTGGTGGGAATTGGCTCAAGAGTTGCTGTGTCGTCCTGGGCTCCATGGATAAAACCTTCAAGTTGGTCCTTTTGGCTGATTTCTTGGTTCAATATGTCGGTTGACTGGCTGAAATTCGCTCCATCAGTCTCTTGACTTTCACTCAACTCTCCACAGAACATCAAGTTTGTAGACTTTGAAGTCTCATTTGGCTCCGAACCACTGGGGAATTTGCTTAAGGGGTCAGACACACCATTTTGGAAAGTCAGCAAGTCGGAACCAGCCGGCTGGCTCTTGTGTTCGCTGATGGTGTCTTCATTGGACATGAAGGTGAGCTGGATTGGATTACTACTAATGTTTGAAATTGCTGATGCAGCCAGGGGAATTTCCAAACCAGAGTTGTTCTCTTTGGTCAAAGCTGGCACAAGTGTTGCTGTCACGCCCTCTGCTCCATGGTAGGACTCTTCAAGATGATCCTTTTGGCAAATCTCTGCACTTGATGGCTTGGATGTATTGGTTTCACTCAGATTCCCGACGATTGTTGAGTTTGCAGAGTTCAGAGTCTCATTTGACTCTGACACTGGCTCAGACACACAGGTCTGGTAAGCCTGTGAGTCGGTGCTGAGGTAAAAGCTTTGACAAAAACTGCTGTTGCTTTTATCCGATAGCGGCGTGTGTGAGAGTGTGCCGTCAAGGCCTTGGCTCGCACCAGATGTAATGGCACTGGTGTCCAAGAAATCATCGAACAACCCAAAGGGTATGGGAGATTGCTGGCCAGTGCCCAGTCCTCCTAAGGAAACACTTTCAACAGGCAGGTCTGAAGAATTCGAATCAGGAGTGGAGAATATGATGTGTAATGATGGTGGTGTTGGGTGAGGTTCTTGATCTGGAGACTTGGGGGTTGTTGCATTAATAGGTTTACTCAGAAATACAACTGAATCATCTAAAATTTCTGGTAAGTCTTCCACAGTCTCTCCATTTTCACTGTCCAGTTTTGTGGTTTGTTCCAAGAGCTTTTGTGGGCAAGTTTCTTCATGATCAGCTCCGAACTCTTTTGCAGCGATTGTGCACACTGGGAAGTGTGGTTCCTCCAAACTGCAGCCAAATGGTAAAGAGATGTCGGATTTCGGCATTTGCTTTGAGACTTTTGGTGTCTCAGCAGCTTGGTCTTCATCTCCCTTCTCTCTTGCAGTGGTTACGTTCTCTTGATCCACAAGCACTGGGGACTGAGTTCCCCATGGCCTATCCAAAACATTCATATCTATTTTTGTATCACTACTTCCAGACAGTAAGGAGATGTTGGAGTTTGGTACTCCAGAATCTTTATGGGTAGTTTTTATCTCTCCTGGAGGAATCCCAGGCTGTTGCTGTACTGGGGATTGTGATTCCAATGAGCCGTCCACATTAGTCACATCTTTCTCTTCATTACCATCTGTGTCCTGAATTATGGTATTCTGGGATGACTCAACCAAAGACCTGTCGGTCAAGTCATCTTCAGACTCTGAGGGCTTCAAATGTTTTACCACACCTGTCTGAGGAGATTGCTCCAAGTTTGAGAGATTGCTCTCAGAGTTCTGTGCCTCGGCTTCTTCTGAGGAAGAAAACTTGTCCGAATAAGAAGAGAGGCAGGAAAGGAAATCCTCTTCTGCCAGACTGCCGAGACCTGAGGAGCCGAGATCTGGGGAGCTGCTGTTGACTTTTACTGATGAGCTTTGAGACAGGGTTTGATGCATATTAGCGTCCATTAGATCAGTTGTGTTAGTAGTGCTGTTAGTGTAATCAGTTTCAGTGCAAGAAGCAAGATTTGGTGAGCTGGTAGGAGAATTTAAAGTTAAGTGTTCACTCTCAAAGCTCGAGTGCTCTGGAATTGTCTCAAGGAATTGTGCAAACGTGTCAAAGTGATGTGTGTTAGTGTTGGCCACCTGGCTGACGGCCTTATGTGCTTCATATACATATTCTGTGCAAGGCTGATGATGCAGCGCTTCATTCACATTTGTGTCTTGATCAGCATCGCTTATGGGAAGAAGCAGTGCTCCTTTATTAATGCAGCGTTCTAGTGGATGGTCACTGAGAGTGTTTTGCTGTGTTTTGCAATCTGCGGTTAGATCCTCGGGAGACTGCAGCCTGCCAGCTGCAAACGCTTCAAAGGATTCGTCCCACTCTGAATCCAGCTCTCCTGCAGTTGTAAAAGGGTTGGCTGACTTCTTGTTAAAAGGCCGCTCCTCTTCTGTTGGTATAGGAGGAAGAGGTCGTTTCTCAACTTTTGCCATCACTTTCGTCTTTGGGTCTGTGCCAACGATGGAGCCCTCTGTGGTTGGGGTGTTGTGTTGGTTAGTTGCTTGAGGAAAAAGTTGACTTATGGGGGGCCTGGAACTGGAAAGATAGGGCAGAGGAGGCAGCGAGGATTGTAAGGGCTTAGCAGTGAGCACGTCTTCATAAAAAGGGTTGTGCTGCACACGAGAAAGGAAAGGGTTGCAAGGGGACATGGGGGGTGACGTGGACTGTGAGTGGCAGAAGGGGTTAGTGTGATGCAGTGGAGAAACCACAGAGGTAGGATCGACAGGGGGACCCGAGGGGTGGTGACAAGTGGGGAGGGGTGGTGGGTGGAGGTCAGTGCTGGGCTCTAGTTTAGGTGACACCACCAGGCTGTGAAAGGAAGGGCACACAGTCCTCTTGATTAGAGAAGATCGTTCACCCAGTTATAGTAAGAGACTTGCAGCAGATTTTCCATCAGTAACCACACTTATTATTGATATACTGTAAGATTATTGTTGTTTTTTAAATTGTAAGCCTTTTATTCTCTTATTCTGAAGTGTCGCTTATATCAGATATTTTTAAAGGTTTGATTGTTTAGAAAGTTATCGCAAATCATAATAGCAGCAGCAAAGGAGTTTTTCAGAGGGTAGATCTCGAAAAGTTCCTTGTTGCTGCTGTTGGAAAAGACATTAAAATAGGCAGAAACTGAAATATTTGGCCACTTGGGGTCAGTGCAACAAGATTGAATTGAAATTGTTTCACTTTTAATAATTAAAATGGCCCCAAACAGTTTCTAGTGTACACGACCATTAATTGAGTAGTTAAATACGCATTCGTATGTTTTTCTTTGTCTTTTCATTTATTTTCCTTAAGCTTATTTAAAGTTGTTCTAGATTAAAATATCAGTCTTCTACGCTGCTTGATACTCCAACTGTTTTGACAGTGAATCCCTGGTTTTATAAGTCTGCATGTTGGGGCCTTATAATAAAGTAAAGTGGGGGCTTTTGGGGGGGTTCGTTTTGCTGAAAAACTGTCGGCTTAGCAGGACAATGAAACAGTATAATTGCTTGCAGAAAAAGCAAAACACAGAGCAACTGTAGCAAGTGCAGTAAGGTGATAAAACTTTGCATAGTCATCACTTTTGGCAGCTTCTTTTCGAATTAGAGGCAGTCATTTCATCTTTATTATCCTGAGAAAGAGCTTGAAAAGGTGTGAAACGCAGAAATTTTGGACCACTTATTAGGCAAACAGCAGTGCATAATGCTGCCTCCTGCAGATCAAAGTTGAGATGAACAGTAAATAAACAGCATTTCCCCACTAGGAACTAAATTTAACAAGTCTGATAAAATCTAGAAATAGAATTTTTTTTTGTAGGAACCACTCCAGGAGCTATATATTGATCGTTAAGTGGTCTGACATTTTCATATCTCTAAAGTCTGGCATAAATACACCATCAAAACATCCTTCGTCTAGTGTGGTTTCTTTGGCTTGAGGGTGTTTTATGCTAGATAAGTTGATGCAGCAGGCCGTAGTGATTACTTGGTTCTACTGGTGCCAACTTGGCTCTTTTCCACAAGGATCCAAACACATGTGGATGTGTAGGTTGTGAAAATGTATAGTTCAGGGCTGGCGGGAAGGTATTGAGTGTACTACGGCCTGGAATAGCTGACCTTGCTTCAGTCAGACAGTGCTTATCAGACTGTTATTTTGTTTACCCACATTGTATAGAAATATGACGATACAGTCCTTTCCTTTTAAATCTCGGTCGATTAAATTGACTAAAAAAAAAAGTCGTATACATTGTATTTTTTTTTTTTTTAAACCTGCAGAGATTCATTTTGTATTAACAACCCAGAACAGCTGAAAGAGAAATGCATCAGTGAGCAGCGTATGAAAAACTGCAGTGAATCAGGTGAGACCCTCCAAATTATTTACCCACATGAGAATATGTTCGTGTAAGAAATGGAAATAAAAATAGACAGGGTTTTTCTCTCCTGTTTTCCCTGCCCACCCACACACACACTCACACACACAAACCAATAAACAGAACCTGTAAGAGAACAAAAATTGCTCCTGCTCTCATCATTATCTTTCCAATTAAATCGACAGAATAACCGAACCACATTATGTTTGCGGGAGGCTTCAGCTTCATAATTGAGGAGCAGCTCCCTCCATCTGCATTGCAGATCCTGCTGTAACCAGAGACTGAGACCAGGAGCTGTGGAGGGATGTGTACAGAGCTGCTACACAGGAAGTGAAAAAAGCAAACAACACACTGATAAATATTCAACACAATGCTGCCTCTCTGGGTACAGGCAGAAATGTAACTCTCCTGTGTTTGGGTGCATTTGAAGTGTTTACTCAAACTCTTTACTTGAACTTAGAACAGACCTGGTATCGATGCTAATGCTGCTAATTCACTGACTGCTGAATAAACGACTCATTTACAAGGAGTCCTCCTGGACTTTCTGTTTGGGTTTGGTTTTGGCACCCCTTGTCGTCAAAGTAACACCTCTTATCTTGTTGCTGTTCATTTTCTGTACATGCACAAGCTGCTGGAGGTTCTCCTCTTCGACCACAAGTCATTATCTTGTGCTCATCTTCTAAGAAAGCAACCTCGGCTATTATCTTGTGCATAAATGTTATTTTCTTGTGCATGCATGTTGCACAAAACTATGACCTCTGTGCACAGGCTAGGGTATGCACACATGTATTAATCATGTTACATTGTGTTATATCCATTTTATATATACCCATTTTTCCTTTTTCTATTGTTTTAGGTGCAGGGACTTCTCGAGGTACAGACTCTCAGCAGGCTCCTGACCTCTACGCTTCATCCATATTCATACTGAAATGTTAATTCATCACCTGCTTGATGTTGTAACAAATGAACCTGTCAGAGTGTGACATCTCTGTGTGCGTCTCACCTGGGTTTGCTGTGCGAGTCCTTGGATCCAAACCATCCCCTGTGTTTCTCCTCAGAGGCAGCGGGGGCCTGTTCAGACTCATCCTTGGACTGACTCTGCCCCTTCCCTGCAGACTCACTCCTCCCGTGGGAGAACAAGTTCCTCCTCTGCTTTTTCCCCTGGCTCTCCAACTCCGCCGTGGAGGAGGAGGAGGAGGATGTGGCTTCTTTGTGCGGAGCAGCCTGTCCCAACCGCTCCTCTTCGTCAGCCAGCATGGGGCCGCTTTTCTCCAGCGCTGCTGCTATGGCCGCCTTCTCCTCCTCGTCTGGCTTGTCGAAAGACCACCGGCGCCCGTCTCCTGCAGGGCTTTTGGGGAGGGTTGATGTGTGAGGGCTTAGGTTCTGCAGAGACATAGACAGAGGCAAAGACTTCGGCAACAGTCCCAGGCCAAAAGAATCTACGGGTTTTCCTGAGCCTGGGTCCAGGGGCTGGACGCTGTATGAATGGCTTCCGTTAACGCACACAGTGGGCTGAGGCACTGGGATGGTGATCTCACCGGCCTCATCACCGTACTCAGATTTGAGAGGGGACAACTTGGGCGACGTGTCCGCCGTGTGGTCTGCAAAAAAGGAGGAAAGAAATGGAAATAAAAGAGAGACACATGGCAGCTTTGAGTCAAAGACATAACTGTGGATCAATCCATTCTTTTATTCGCCTCAGTGTTTTTTTGTTACTACAAAACTTTAGAATGACACTGTATCGTTTTAAGGGCCTGTGTCCACTCACAGCATCGGCAGCACCTATAAGGATTCAGAACAATTTAAAGCAAACTCAAACAATCAGGGAGGCAGGAGTGCCATGACCAAACTTTGTTACCTAGCAACAGTAAGAGCATCAAGGTTGTAGGCCCTTCCAATGCAAAAAATAGCATCAGTGGACACAGGCCCTAACTACTAAATCAAAGAATCAGTCATTTTGATCCTCCAGCAGTTAAAAAGTAAATAATAATAACATGCTCTCTCTTCTGGTCCTTCTCACCTGGGCTGTTGTCAACAGTCAGGTTGCTGCTGTTACTAGGAGAGTTGGAGAGATCAGAGACCACCACGCTGATCCCGGCTGTCGGGCTGAGACTCCCTCCTCGTGATGAGGACTCGCTGCTCTCCGACCCTAGAGATGTGCTGGACCGAGTGTCTGATGACTTCCTCAGCTTCCCTCTTAAGAAGAAGGTCCTCATCTTGCTCCTCCGAACCTCGCCCCCTTCGTCGTCCTCGTAATCCTCCTCCCCGCCTCCATCGCTCGGTAGTCGAGTTCTCATCCTGTACAGAGACCCGTAGCCGCTGGGCAGAACGGCCGAGGAGGAGTCCTCGTCGCTGGATCTCCTCTTCCCTCTCATGCGCTCCTTCAGCTTGCCGAAAGTGGAGGCGCTCTTGTCCTTCATGACGAGGTCGTACATGCTGGCGGTCAGGTTATTTCGGGTGAACTGGACCGTCACCTGAATGTCTCCTCGTTCCTTCTCTTTCTTTCCTGTTTTAGAGTTGAGCCTGTACCACCTGCAACACACAACAAATAACACAGAAGATTTATCACAGGAAGCATTAAATGGCAATACAGAATGATTTAAGTCAGACATAATTATATTTAAAGAGCTTGTTTTGTGACTTATTCAATGGTAGTATTTTTCTCTGTATTTTGACACTGGATATAAAGAAATTTAACTTTATTTCAAGAGTTTTTCCATTAAGACTAAGCCATTAAAGGTGGGGTAGTCAGGATCTGAGGAAGTGTCAGTTTTTGGGAGAAATCTTGAATGTAAACTCTACCCCTCCCAACTGTTTTCCCCTCAGCTCCTCCTCTCCCCTCCCTCTCTGCTCCATTAAGCCCCGCCCACAAACAGACGCTCTTTCTCGCTCGTATCGTTCCAGTTAAATTCAGATATAATGCAGATAAATACTTCAGATCATTACAAATGGGGCCCAGTCAAGGTGAAAGTAAAAAGCATTGGTGCTAATGTAGATGCCAACAGACTACCAGCAAACACAATGTTTGCAGGACTTCTACAACTGGGATAAAGTGACATAGTCCAGGACCCGAGGGAGGACAGTTTAGCGGCGCTACAACACGCTACAGCAGGTCCAGTTTGACAAGAAACACTTCTGCTACAGACACTTGGCTTACTTTGTTAAAGCGGTTTACCTGTCCAGCAGAAAGGTTACAGGGTCCAGAAGACCCCAAAGCGTTCCCCATCATTGTTGACCCAGCTTTTTTAGCTCTTGTCCGGTCTACCTCCTTTTTCAGCGCCCATTATTCCTCCAGAGTCTCCGGTATTTACTTCATTTTCTTGCTTGTGTTGGCAGTCGTGGCCAAAGGAGGATTCAGACAATTTTCCGAACTTTCTGGTTGGTTTCTACTGTCCGATATTGTAGCACGCTAACTTTGTTTGGGCTCCTGAACGACACGGGGGAGCAGCGTCTGCCTCACAACCAATCAGGATGGGGAGGAGGGGAACGGCTTTGTTTACAGTCAGAAAGAGGGTAGTGCTCCAAAATTTTAAAATGTTGACTACACAGACATAACAAAACACAGCGATATCGTGATATTACCAAATGTCATCAATGACTAATAACTAATTGACTGATATTAAAAGCTTTTTTGTATAAACACCACAAAAAAAAGATGCTTCTTCAACGGATTCCTGCCTACCCCACCTTTAAAGTATAGACAATATTGATTCCTTTCCTCAAAAGTTTTTCATACTTAAAACTAGTGGTGCAACGGATCATCATTGATCCGTGATCCGTTCGGATCGACGTCATCGGTTTGGCACACACGTTACCCGCGGTTCGATTTCTGAAAAAAAAAATTTGGCTTCCCTGTCAACTATGATGAGGAAGGAAAGAGGTCAGTGGACAAAACTGCGAAGGTGTGTAGGCATAAGAAAGCCATATGACAGTGGAAACACATCGAGCATGTTCACGCATTTGAAAGCGACATCACCCGGGTGTTTTAATGACAGGTGTTGTGCCGTAGACTGCACCCCTGCCGTAGAACGCACCCCTGCATCCCCTCCACTCGTTAGCTTCTTAAAGTGGAGATAATGATCTCATATTTAAAGAAACACGAGTATTAGATCATGACAGCATGTCAAATGGAGCAGCAAACTTTCATTTTCTTTTTATGTGTCTCAAAAATGCAAATATAGAGGTGTACTTGGGTATAAACTGTACAGAAAGCTGTCCAGGTAGAGAGCATTATATTTTCGGGACAGCAGTATTCCAAGGGCTGTTGTTTTTGGCTTCTTTGAATAGCCTGAATGAAATTATTACAGGCAAACGCTTTTGAATCCATCCAATGTAAGAAAAACTTGGATTATTTCGCCTCGTTATGTACTTTAAACCGCGCTCCCGTCAGGGGGTGCATTATACGGCAGGGGTGCATTCTATGTCACAACACCTGAGATAAAACGAAAGCTGGCCAGCAACCGCTCATCACCGCAGCATTTAAGCAGCCTCTTCCTGCGCAATCCGACGGGTTAAAGCTATCACAAACGCTATCGGTGTGTTTATAGCTACAGACATGAGGCCGTATTCAGTTGTGCAAACGAGGGCTTTAAAAACATGCTGAAAGTGCTTGAGCCACGTTACAATATCCCACCGCGCACATACTTCATTTTTGGTTCATTATTACATTTTAAAGGAAGGAGATATGCCTATATATTGCACTTTGAGTTGTTTTTCATTAATAATTATGTTGACAAGAAGATATTATGCCGTATGCACTACTTTTATATATTTTAATTCAACCATTTAAGTGTTTAATATACAGACAAAACTGCTTTTTGCTGATCCGAAAAATGATCCGATCCGTGACTCTTGATCCGAGGAACGATCCGATCCGTGAGTGTTGTGATCTGTTGCACCACTACTTAAAACTGACTGAATTTACTTCCAGGAGTTATTAAATTTTAAATGACTCAAAAATGCACTTGAAAGGTCCCTCCCAACAAACACAAGTGTGTATTGTTCAGCACAGAATGGGGTCATTAAATGATTGAAATGACTCAATAGTTATGTATGTGTTTGTGAGAGCATGCCTATTACTATAAGGTCTGTCTTTGTGTGGCCAGACATCCCATAACACCTTGGACAGGCCTCTTGATTTCTGCCCAGTGAGCAGGAACAAAGAGGTAAAACAATGCTGCTTTAACAGTAAGCAGCCCACATACACAGCAGACTCTGACCTAACTGTAAATTCTTTCACTGAGCAGGAACAGAGCTGCAGTTCTTAGAAATGCTGTGTACCAGTGGGTGCAAAAATACACCAACGAGTTCACCACACCGTGACTCATGGGAAACTCTCATCTGGGGCGCTGTGTCCGGTTTAAAAACATGATATGACTGAGAAAAAAGAAAAAAACCCTGGTTAGCATGTTTTTGACACTGTTTGCTGGCAAAGGGAAGTCACCGGCACAGGGAGGGGACTGAAACCGAGACCTGCTTTTATTTTTTCACTTCCTGTGCTGCTGGGCTATTTGCATTATCGCGCCTCCACCACAGAGCCTTTCTTTATTGGGGCTGAGAAACACATGCTAAATTAAGTTGTACTTATTTTTATAAAGAGATTCTTTCTATAAGTGTAAATGAAGTGAATAGAGTCACAAAATACAAAAGAACAAACTTGTTCCACAGGGTAAGTGAAGTAATCGTATATAAATGTTAAACATCTCACTAAGATGTATTTGCATCTTTATCTGGGTGTAGTTTATCACTTTGGCAGACACCTACTCCCACCAGCAGTTTCAGACATTAGAAATAACCATAAAAAAAAACTAAGTACGTGCAAAGCGGTGTCAATGGCACTAATCCTGCTCTCTGTCTTGATTGTAATTCTGTTTTTTTGGAGTCAGAAAACTTAATTCACCATGTGACAGAAACGTTTCCTTCGTACATGTGGGTACAAGAGAGGCCTAGAGGAAAACGGTGAGATTCAAAGTAAGACTGAGAGCTTTTTAAGTTACTTCTGTCCTGGAAATGCATTCAAAATGAAAACACTGTGCAAGAATCAGGGCAGTGATTAAAAAACAACATAAAAAAGGAATAGATCAGGCTTTTATTTTGAAAAGCATCCAGAAAGTGGAAGTTATATTTCAAACCTAAGACGCTTTCGACACAGGTAGTCACAAATTTCACTTATTCAAGGCCATATATACAATTTATGGTGGTGCACAGCTCTCTTAGGAGCTCTGACTTACCAACATCCTCGCCATAACAAAAATCAAGACTTTGCTGAATATGATAGTATCATTTTTAAGCCCCAATTACATTAAGTTTAAATTGGTATTAAATATGAGTGATCAATCCTTTTTTGTTAAGCAAAAGACATTGTCAAAAACATTTAAATATTAATAATAAGCAGAATAAAACGCAACACAGTGCAGCTAACTTCATAATTATTTGATTTGGCGGAGGACTGAGGTTTTCGAAAAGTCTAAACGCACAAATATTAAACAGGATGTCAGAGGAAACTAGAGTTCAAGAAACCTAAATGTTTTTTCACAAACAGCTCAAATCCCCGGGTCTGCTGAGTCAACAAGAAAAATCTAAATGTCACGCTGTGGAAAGTCAGTTGTGAGAATCGAGGTTTACACATCAAAGAGCAGACATGAGAGACAACAGCAAACACACTTCTGTCTGATCTGAGGAAGGAGAGCCTCAGAGTATTACTGTACAGCTTTGAGACCTGACGAACCTCATTTACTGAGTGACAACGCAGAAAGAGTCCCAGACTACAAACACTTCAGAATAAAGGCTCTGCAGGTGTCAGGTTTGATGTTCGCAGCAACTGGTTGTCAGAGAGTAGAAGCTCACAGGAACAGCATTCAGACAGTCAGGGTAAACTCAAAGACTTACAGTTAGAGGTAGGATTGGTAATCTGATTTAGATGTTATTCTGATTAAAATGATCTTTATGTTCCGATGACAATCAACAAGTGATGTGTTCTTAAAAAAAGAGCGAAACATAGCCGCTATCTACAGCAGGAGTAAAACTGGGAAAACACCAACCAATCACACTGTGTGGGTCCCACATTTTTAAGAGGGATATAGCTACGCTGGAGAATGGCAGAGAAACTACTAGGGCCCGACCAATTTATCAGCAAGCCAATTAAATCCGCGAATTTTAGCTTGTTTGAGACTAATCGGTAATCGGTAAAAACTCACAGATTTTCGCCAATATTTTCAGAAATAATATGCAGAGAATAAGATTCCGTTTCACTACGAAAATGTTCCACCATTTGAAAAGTTACCTGACTTATCCTGTAGATGGCGCAGCGACCTTATGACAATCTTCATCCACTAATTATTTTTTATAACCTCATAAAAAAATTTAAAAATCGTCCGATTAATCGGTAATCGGATATCCCCCCCCTAATAATCTGTATCGGCAGTGGCCCCAAAAAATCCATATCGGTCGGGTCCTAGAAACTACGTATACCCAGATTAATGGTGACCGCTCCTCGTGCAAAAAGAGCAAGATAATAAAGACAGAGGTAGAGAAGGCCGAAGTAAGACAGAGTTTGGAGAAAGCGACGGCGAAAGCAAAACTCAACATCGGGACAGCTTTTCAGCGATGGAGAGAACTGAAAGAGGTCAAGAGCTTTACACGTGACGTCATGGTCGCTCATTTTCTGTTGGAAAGGTTCACTGAGGGTTTATTTCAGGGTGATTTTTAATCTTGATCAAGTATTTGGCCATGTTGCTAGTAATGTGGTCATCCTGATGCTGACGTTACCTTCCTTATCCTTGCTGTGCAAAGACTTCCCAATCTAAAGTCCCAAAGTTTTGAGTTTGTGGTTTTGAAACAGCAGAAAGCAGCGCTCGTGTATGTGAGTGGGGACGTTGTTTTTGAGCAGCTAGTTTGTAGTGATTACCAACCCTACCTTTAACAGTCAAGGTAATGACATCTGGGCAATATGAGATAAATGAGATACATATGAACTCATATCAGGCATCTGCAAAAATCCAATATTGTGTATCTGTACTATAAATCAAATCAGCAACAACAGATTCACTTCAACACTTGATATCTGAGTTGACTGTTGTCTCATAGACCAACTCAGACTATACTGCGTTGTTTCTATTACAGCACAACAACTGATGTGACCATACGAAGGTCTCCGCACGCTTCATATTTGATTATAATGTTGTCTAAGAAAGCAATCCACTCAGAGCTGATGACAGAAACAAGACCGATCTTTAACTGAAGGCAAATAACCAAACAGTCATCTACACCCGGTGACCTCATTCCCAGGTCCTGTTTGGGGAAAGTTTCCTGCTCCGGTAGAAAACCCTGGCATCATCGAAGGCTGCAGGGGAAAAAACACACGAGCCATATAATTCATCTCACAGGCTGTTATGTAATCTTCATCATCAACACGATCCTGCCGCTGACCTCAAGCTCAGCGCTGAAATACGCGGTAACACCCTAGAAGAATGCCAGTGAAAACATCAGCAGACGCACGCATTGTAGTACGACACTGAGAATCACAAATAACAAGCAGGTGGAGCCTGGAGCTCGGAGCGCGGAGGAATGCTGCTGCTTTTTATAGCTGCACAGGAACAACAAACTGTACTTCTCGCATACGTAGACAACAATGGAAACGTGCCACATAAGCAGACGTGGGAAATCTTAGCTGCTGCTGTCATTAACTAATCCGGACTAACAAGATCTTTTAAAACTCCCACTAGTCGTCATGGTTTTGTGTTTCTGTATTTGCATAAAAATCTATTTGACAGAGGATTAACTTCTCTAATCCAGACAAAGTATTTACTCCAGAGCAGAGAATTGAATCACAGGATGATAAAGCTGCATGTAAACTCCTGAGCTCTGACTCCGTCCTGTCTTCTCTTTGACATTTGGGGTTCAGATGTTTCGGTGCATTTCTCTTACGCAAGTGCAGCCTTAAACACCTGTTAGGTGAAGACTCGAGTTTCACGGCGATGCTTCAACAATAGTATCACTTTTACTCCTCCTGATTCTGCAGCCAACTCCCTGTGGCCAAGGTGGGGTCCACATTCCAAACACACTCATTCTTCGGCAAAACGTACAGCTCTGACTGCTATTATCATACTGTGGCCCCGGCAGAGATTGTAATTTAGGGTGCTATTTGTGTAGGATGTCTGACAAGTCTGCCTCCTCGCCTCTACTTTCTATTTCTACCATGAGGCACAGTATCTTTAAGAGAAGGGAGGCTGTGTAAAATGTTGATTAAATCAGATTTTGATCGTCTGCGAATCATTTCCCAATATCTCAGGTTAATTTTTGACAGGTTAGTAAAACGAATTTTGCTCCAGAGAGTAAAGATCCTTTCACACCGGGACCGTTTTTATCGTGCGATTATTTCGGACATCAATATTTTTTTTCGAACCCGTATCCTGTCAATACAAGCGTTCACATCAGCAACGTTTTCTCGTCCTGCGATATTGCGGCATTTATATTTTTCGTATCACGGCCGATTTTTCTAAAGTTTTGCATACTGTGTGTCCACTTCTGACCAATCAGATTTCGTGTTGTTACAACGTCAGATTCACCGGTATATCCAACATGGCCGACCGGCTGATTGTTTACGTGTCGGGGAACAGAGTGATTTTTGATAAAAAACACAAACATTACAAAAATAACGACCTGAAGGACAACTTGTGGAGAGTCATAGTGTCGGATTTCTCATATGATGATGGTTTGTGTGCTTTAACAGTTTGCTAAACGTTTTTGTTTTAACTTTCATCTGTGCTAAGTAACTTTAGCTCATAAGCTAACATGCAATTAATTATATCATCACCCTGCTGCTCAGATCTGGAGTTTAAGGTCAGTTACACAATTTTTTTATCGGTTTATCGCCCTGCCCTGGGCAAATCTCTTTTCAAAAAGCCAATGCTGGATGGCTGTGATTTTCAGGCCTCTAAAAACAAATATGACTCTGCAGTGGGACTCACCGCGTAGACTCAGAGTTTGTCTCTGCAGAACTGTCGGTCGGGCTGAAATCTTATACCAGAGAAAAATGGGGCAACATCTCACCTTAAAAACTCCATAAACTGGTCTTCTCGGCTCCCAAAGTTGCACAGAGCATTGTTATAAAAGCAGATGATGTGATACTATGATAAACAGCTTTTTCTATTTGTGTTGCTGGAGTCATATTTAAAATAAGCAGATTTTTATAATACAAACACTGTCCTGTTAACTTTTGAAAACTGTTGGAGGAAGAATCTGCTGATTAAGAACTGATGAAACGCTGAGATTCTCGTTTTGTTTGTGGAGTCGATGCAAAAAACTTCCCCGCTTATTAATGTGATGCACCTGCGCTTGTTGGTCATGTGACTCCTCTAAAGTCCTGACAACAACAAAAATGTAAAGGTAAGTTAACGGACATGAGGCCTAAATACAGAAACTGCAACACAGCAGCCTACATTTTGAAGCCCACGTACTCAGGCAGAGCGCACAGTCTGTTTCTGAGGAGGACCCAGTTTCCCAAAGCACCGACCCACACGGACGCCTGTTCGGTTCACGGAGGCCGCTGTGCTGATATTTTAAAAATGTTTTTGTTATAAATACCTTTAAAAAAGCTTCTGTAAATCCAAGAACGACAACAATCCTCATAACCGAATGTTCTGTCTGTTTTCGGATTTTTCTTGGAGCCGTTTTTTTGTAAACAGCCTCATTCCAGAGCTGCAGAGCATAACACCAAACATATCTGCTTCCCCATCTTGCAAAAACAGGAAATCACAACACTCCACCCGTCCCAGCATGACACCATCTCCTCATCTACCCGCCTCCCTGATCCACTCAGGAAAAAGATAGTTTCTCTTCCAGGAGCCGTGGGTCTTACTCCAGGATTCGGGTTACAAAGTCTTCCATGGAACAAATCAATCCCCAGAAACCTCCCTCCAAGGCGACAGGCCTGAAATTACAAGACAAGTAGGCTATCAACCTATTTTATCCTGCATGTTCTGGGTCTCTGCGGAGCTCTGTGTGCTCGGGTGGTATCAGAGCCAGACTGAAGAGACTCCATAAAATAAAACTGGTGCCAAGGGCGCAGGATCTGTGTCAGCTGTGGGACTTAGCAGTGCACTTAATTCATCAAACATACAGTTCTTAAAGTCGAATGGCTTTGAGATATTTCCTTTATCCTACCGGAGGAGTCAAACGGGGTTGCGAGGCATAAAATAATCTATAAGGGCAGAGAGAGCTTGAAGAGCAATAACTTCAGAAAACACACTGACACACACACAGCATGAAGCAACTGTGACAAATACTCGTGCTCCAAGCTCTGTGGAAAGTCAGCAGGTCACCAAAGTGGGAAGGATTCATCCCCTGAGCTCTTCTATGGGAGGGAATCACATGATAGATTATCTGATCATTTCTCTGTTGTAACTTGGAGTTTTTAGAGAATGACAAACTCAAACACAAATTTAGTGCCTTGAGCAAATGTTTAATCAAGACTGAAACATTTAATGTAGTATACGAGAGTTACACTATGACCAGGGATGGGAATTGATAAGATTTTATTGATATCGATGCCTTTATCGACTCTGCTTATTGATTCAGTTCTTTAACGATTCCCTTATCAATGCCTTTCTTGGATTAAAAAAAGTAGACTACAGGTTTTCACTGTTAAATCAAAATTGTATTTAGTCTCTGATTACAGTATTCTAAAAATAATCAAATGACAAACTATTTGTACAGCGTTTACTTCAGTTGGTATTAAGTCAAATTAGGGTGACCATACTCTAAATCCCCCAAAACTTAATTATTCTATTATTATAAATTTCGAGGGTTTTTGGGTCGGGTCGAGAGTTTTTGACACGCTCAGTTAGTCCAAGTCTGGCATGCACTGTGCTTATGTTAACACAGGACGTATGTTCCATGCCGTTGCTGAGACAGAGCAGCAGTGGCTGACATCCGGAAGAAAGGAATCATTAAGGGAATCTTTAATATAAAATGTGAACAATATCGATGGATTGAACCATTTGAAACAGATTCTCAACAAGAACCGGTTCTCGATTCCCATCACTAACTATGACATCACTGCGTGACGTCTAGCCAATTATATAGCACTGTGGGCGGGACATTAGATTGCTGCATTCCAGTTTCCTCAGAAGTCGGATGTCTGAGCTAGGAATGATGTTACACCCGAGTTGACGGCATTCGAATAAACAAGTCAGTAAACCAAGATGGACGCCTACTGTTAGCCGTTGTCAGTTGTTGTTAGTTGTTGTTAGCTATACCAGTTGTAAACAACGCATAACCCAGTATGTTACTCTTACAAACACCACAGCACCGTGTTCACAGTTAGACGTTGGGCAGTACAACATACCACTTATTTAATTTCACAAAAACAAAACAGAAGTGCTAATAAATAAAACATTACGAGAGCTTTCACTGTTACTCTTTACTGTTGATGCACTGTGCTGCCATCTTTCACTATGACATTGTCGTCAAGTCGAGTGAGGATCGTCCAACTTTCCGAGTCCAAAATCCAACTTTAGGGGGGTGTTCCAGGTGAATTTCCGACTCTAAGCTCGGCAATCCCGACTTCCGAGTACAACTGGAACGCAGCAAGAGTGTTCAATGAAAACAGATCCAGAATGAAGGACCCACCTCTCAAATACCAAATATCAGCCCCAATAATTGACTGAAGTTCATAATCAGTCTACCTCATGCTACAAACCCATCCACCTTAGCCTCACCGCTAACAACAAGTAGAGCGAATAATGCTGGAGAAACTTTTTGGGGTGACAGTTTGGCCTAGCAGGTATGTCATGTGCACCCCAGAGGCTGTACAGAGGCTCTGCTGCTGGGTTTGATTTCCAACCGGTGACCCTTTTGGCACATGTTATTCCCCACTCTGCCCTTTTCCTTCTCTAACCACTGTACTCTGAATAAAGGCATAAAATTGAAACAAAAACAAAAACTAAATCATTCCTAAATAGATTAAAGTTTCATTGCAGCTGCTCAACCCACAACTTTACCAGATAATGGGTGATGCAGCGGGAAGGGTTTGTTTACAACCAAAAATACAGGGGTCTCATTGCAGCTAATCCACATCAACATTCACTCCTGGTTCATAATAAATAATGAACAACCTGTATAGCAGATCAGATGAGTCAGTAAAGAAACAGCCACTGACAAACTCTAGATTCCTCACAACTCTAAATGTTCCTTTCTGGTGTAAAATCTCTGCTTCATATCGCTGAACAGATCAAAATTCAGAGGGTTGTCTCTCACTAACTGTTTCTACAGTTAAAAAAAACATGCTGAGTCAGTCACCATCAATTTGAGCACAACTTCAATCCGCTCTGGTTCAACAGCCACCAGAAATGTCCCGTTAGAGCCAAAAGTGCTGGGAACACCATTAAAAAAAGTACGATCCCCCCGGTCAGCTGGCGACCCACAATAAAGAAGACCCCCGTCACTTTGAGGACGGCGCTGCAGCTTTGTTTGAATCATAAAGAGATTTTTTTTCCATTTGAGTCTCTTATTGATACAGGCTAATAAACCCTCCAGGAGCTCTGCGGGCTGTTATGGTAATGTGGTCTGGATTCCTGCCTCCATCAGCAGAAGCAGCAGACGGGCCGTGAGACTCGGACCACATTCCACATCTGGACGCGATGAGCTCCAACTTCCCCTTTCAATACTTTAACCCAACCGACCGCTGTAGCTTAAAAACAGACGACCCACGAGAAAATGAAGTGATAGAAAACCAAGGAAAGGGCGTTAAATTCACAGGTAAAACCAAGTTTCTTCAGTCGCTGTTAGACAGGAAATATGTAGGAGATGGGACCACAAGGTATTGCATACTAACTACAGGAAGATAAGATCGATCTGTGTCACTCCCAGGGGTCAGCTGTAGTGTAGTGTAAAGCAGAAAAGAGAAATATTTAGACAGCAAATATTCATGGACAAGGATAAACGAGAGGATCTAATAAATACTTGATTAATCTCTCCAAAAGGGTCTGGAAAACTAAAAACATTCTGTATTTAAGAGCGACTGAAGTAGGCCCTGAGTGTTTAAACTTCATAAGTAGGTGCTGTTTACTCCAGTATTAAAACTGCAAACATGACTCACTTAAATGAAAGTAGATCATCACAAACAGAAGCAGGTGCGGCAGCTACAAACACACCATGAGAGGAGATCAAATGCTCTCTGTTTGCTTACAAAGCTGCTGCAATTTACACAAGTATTAAAAAAAACCTGATTTGTTATGAAATGTGAAGGTCAAGGGCAGAGACAGGACTGAAAAGTGTTCCTGTTACATCTGTCCTCTCTGTTAGATCCAGTATCTAAGAGTTTTTGGCTTTACTTCTTTAACTAATGTGATTGCTTCAGGGGATCATTGTACAGCATCAACCTGAGCTTAATCCTCCAAAGAACAGCCGAGAAGATGAAAGCTTTTAGTGTTACGGACCACACTGGAGGTATTTTGATATCTGATAGTAGGGCTGGGCGATATGGCCTTAAATCAATATCACGATATATTGAGCAGTTCACCTTGATAACAATAAATAGACGATAACTACTCCACGAGCTGCTCACCCCCTCCCACATTAACTTCGTCGACTTCAGCCGCTACAACTTTTGAACCGTCCTCCATCTCCTCACCTGTCTTTCCCTCTTTGTTACAGACTGGAAGGGGTGGAGTCACGTCTCTGATGTAGGACAGCGTCTTGAGACATGAGACCATAGCCTACCTACACACATCCAAAACCAACTTTCATTCATTTTGACACAGAATATAGCAATATGGGCAAAATGATGTTGGTTATTGTCGTAAATTTCAGTACTGGTAAAATTTCAGTTTATCGCCCAGCCCTATCTGGTAGCATTCTCTTCAGGTTGTGTACTTGTACTTATATTTGTAGTGTTTCAGATGTAAAATGTCATCTTGCACTTTGGTGAACTTAACAATTTAATATCATCACCCTGTTGTTCAGATCTGGAGTTTAAAGTCAGTTACACAAATCATTTACATTTCTAGTTTTGAGGGTCTGAAATACAGATTGTATGTTTTGTCTAAATTATGGGTGTACACAGAGTGTGGCTCTGGTTAATGGCTTCTACCACAATGCTTTAACACTCTGGATGTTAACAAGTATGGATGGCATCTCATACCGCAGCATAGTCTGGCAGCGTTTTGATCTAATCAATGTTACAAGTAACTAAAGATACTACAGAAAACGGTCAGTCTCTAAGTTATTGGTCTTATCTGTTTCTGCAGATCTCTAACAGGCTGCAATTTCAGTCTTTTCTATAACCCACTAAAATTCAGGGGAGCTTAATTGTGCAACTTCTAAATCAACAAATTTAAACACATTGACTGGATAATTGGGGCTAATATTCATCATTTGAGTATTTGCATCTGTTACCCGTCTCATTATCTACTAACGTCTGGTATCAGCCCTGAAGAACCAACATTAGCTGATCCCTAATCTATATAATCTTATTTAAACCTAGGAGGATTGAAGGGGTACATTATTTCCTTCCAGAAATCTTAAGAATTAGCAGTATAAAGCAGCACAAATGGTAAAATAATATATGTATATAGATCCAACTATAAGCATCATTTAGCCTTGTCTGCTATTTACCTTGCAAACAGTCCTCTGACCTTAGCTGAACCGAGCGTCAACAGGAACTAACAATAATTTAGGTTGCTGTGTCACAGTGACCTACATTTCGTAACGTCTCTGTAAGTTCTTGCTCATCTTTTCTATTAATGTGACTCGTTGAACGTCTTTGCTTCACAGTGCCTCCATGACGATACAAGACAGAGTGATGGGAGTTTTATGATGCAACTGTACGGCCTCAGACCCAAAGACTATGAATTAATACGATGGTGAGATGTCTGTCTGTTTGATTCAGAGCAATTGTTGATCTGAAGTTAAGCTGATAAGTCTCCACTGTAAATGTTTTCAACCAGCTGAGGTACATTTGTATTATCCAGCATGACTGATCGGGTCATAGAGTTATGTAACATCGAATGTCCATTAGACTATATGCTCTCTCTGCAGCAGCAGCTTCTGAAAGTCTGTCAGCTCTTAGTACAGGATACATCACAGAGAGAGACAGAGAGAGAGAGAGGGGGAGTCTTTCTGCCTCACTCAGCAGATGGAGGTTCAGTTCTCAGGCCTGAAACAGCATCAGAGCTGAACCTCCTACAGAAACAACACATGACAGAGAGAGTTAACTCTGACACAGCGATGGAGCAGAAAGGAGAGGTTGGAAAATACCAAATGTAGCATCTGAATCATAAAATCAGCACAAACAACAATCCCTGATCTGCTGGGAAAAACAGAGCTGAGATCTTCAATCAATCTCTTGGAAGGGAACCTGATTATACAGGAAAACAATATGTACGACAGGCTCAACATTCAGCACCGGCGCTGCAAATTAATTTCTTTTTGTCCGTAATGTGGGCGGTTTGCTATTTTTTGTCCATGGTGTGAAAATTTGGCAGTTTTTGTAGCTTCCGCCTGACAGACCCTGCAGGGGAAATCACCCAACGCCCACCTTTCCAGGAATCTGCTCTTCACTGATAGTCACCATAAAAATACTCTATCATACCACCCTGGTACACAAGCTGTTCTGCCTTCATTTACTAAATGTAGATGTAGAAACATGTCGGACAATATGTTAAATGAACGCTTTCATGTTGCTCTTTTTCCTGCAAGTGTTGGTGCAGATTTCAAACACACCTGACCTCTCACACTACCTCAGAATAAGCCCATCCTCTCCGGGAATAACACCTAAATATAAACCTAATTCTTTCTTATCAGACTGTGACCAGAACATGCTGATTCAGAAGTACACTAGATGAAGACTTATGAATCTAAGAGACAATAAACAGGTCAGAAGTTCAGTTGCTGGATCTCCCTCTGCAGTACACGACCCCTTTGCACTCCATCACTGTGAAAGCCGAGCTCCTCCTCAGAGCTTAATAAATATGAAACTGTAAAGTGAAGGAGTTTTTAACACTCTCTCCAGTCACTGAACTCTAACAAAATGAAGAAGTGCTTTTCTTCTTTACATTTGCTCCGTCTGTGTTCGGCTGAGCACCTGTTTTTCTTCCCTCCTCACTGTTTTTTGTGCCTCTTCCCTTTAAGACTTTACTGCATCCATTCATCTCTGAGCCTACGCCTATAGCCATGCAAATAAAAGCCCGCCTTAAAGAAAGCAATTACCCTGAAAGGACAGCTGTACATTAAAAGGCGACACCTGGGACAGCCACAAATCTGAGGGACAAATGTGTGTGATTTCAAACTGATGTGAAAACAAAGTACAGAATGTCATGTCCTGTTAGATTCATACCGCGCTAGAGTACATGCGAATGAAGCTGCACAGAGTGTTGTGTTTCTGAATGAGTCCAGTGAAGGATAGGACGGGCAGTATATAACACAAGATTTTGCCAAGTGCAACCAAAGGTCAGTTTGATTTATCTCAACCCAAAAAAGTGAGTAACCAAGTAGTTTTTGGGCCAAAACCTAAACAAGTACATGGTAAACAATCAGTATGTTTCTACGCACAGTTAAAGGGATATTTCGTTGTAAATTTAAGTTATGGTCAAACACACTGTAACACAGAATTAGACACCCCTTCGAGAGACGAATGTTGCCGACCACTTGCTTCTCTAGTTACATCAACTTAAGTAACGACCGCACGATAGCAATACACAGCGGTCTACGTCTCCACACGCAAACCTCAACCAAAAAGCCACTCTATAGCCACAAATAATGTTCAGAACAGCACCTAACTTCATCAACAGGACATATAGGGTCACAGACATAGTACTAGCCACCAAACATCTTTTTAACTTTGCCTGGTTTCTTTAACAAAGAGACTAAACACAACTCACCTACTCTCTTCCAGCATCCGCTTGTTTATGGGGGAGCCCTGACGAGTCGATCCCTTTAAGTCAAGCTACAGTTAAAGCTGATGATTCAACTGGACTTCTATCTTGTCCCAGTTTACAAGCTCCAGGCCAGAATCCACTGGTTTGCAAAAGTATACTGTCTCTGCTATGCTTTGTTATGTGCCACCCCTGGCTCCTTACAATTCGGCCATTCCCCCTTTACCTATTACGTCATGTGCAAAAACAATCAACATATGGGTTAGTAAGAGGTTGTATGTTGTATAATCAGAACACAGACAACTTCATAAGCTTTGTACATTTTGTACATAAGATACAACTGTTTCATCTTTATTACATCCCTCTTTCTGTCGAGGTTTTGATTTGGGGCAATTTCAGTCAGGCTAACAAGTTTGCATGCGTTTTAAAAGTCCAGTTCCAGTCGGACTAATGCAGAAAATCAACATGACTGTGAAATGTTTGCAGTCAGTGTTTGAGCTGAAACATAGCAGCACAGTAGCTTGTATCAGGTGGACCATTGCTAAAAAAGCAAGCACCAAAAAGCTGTCTTGCACAGATAAACATGGGGTTGTTTGATTATAACAACTGTGGCATGAGAAGATTGACATGGCAGGAAGTAAGATGTTGGTCTTATGACTTGAACCACGCCATGCTGTCACCAGTTTCTCATTTTCCATGATTAGTCCACAACAAAAGTCTGCATGTTATCACTTTAACGCAACACCCTCGGTTAAACACACAAAGAACTGGACTCCATGCACACAGAGCTTGTCTTGGAAAGCACAACTGTAGAATGTAAACATGCACACAGCTCTGCTGCTTTCATAGATACACACATTTATCAGCCAATACAGTCACCCAAATTGCTACTTGGGTTTGATTGTTGAACTGTATTCAGGAAAATGTGGGCAGGAAAAGTATGCGTCATGTCAAAAGGATGACACCCCCGGTTTTCCTGATAAATCTTCACCATGAGTCGACAAGAATTTAACAGTAAAAATGGAAGATTTCTGAATGCTTGCCTGATGTCAGCCATTACTGCTTTTGTTTACAGCTTAAAAATCAAGAGATGGTGCTAATTTCACTCTTTCATTTGCAGCTGAGATGTTAACACTGCTAACATCTTTTCCTGTGGTGCTTCCCGGAAGACACTCCAAAAATCAACACTTTGCACTAGAAAGAGGCTCATGTAATAGGGGATCTTCTTAGTCAAACACCGGCTATTTTAAGTCTTTATTCAAAAGATTGACATCCGTGAGCCGTGTTGACTGTGAGACTCGTTGCTATTGACCAGCCAGGATTCACCAAATACCACATGGAGACACTGAATGTCCCAAGATACCAAACTGCTGACACGTCAACATCACAGGCTGCCTCTAACCTTCAAGTGACCAGCTTCAACAGGAGGAGACTGGTTCTCCTTTCAGCTCACACTCACAGCTTTAAAAGACACGGTCAGGTCGGATGGTTGTCCTTTTTCTTTTAAACTAAAAAGAAAACAGAAGAGGAGGAGGAGGGATGTTTTTTCTGATCAAGGCAAAAATTCAGCCTGTGTCAACAGAGTGTCAGATGAGGAGTAGTGGACGGATGTTATATAAGGATATATCCACAAATCCATGTCCTGCTGTTGCATTTTCAACCCCTGTCAGATTACGGTAAATAATTGTTGCTGTGAGGAAATCTTCCAGATTCTACCTGCCTGTGTGCTCTCACAGATTATGAGGGGGACTTTCCAAGCTAGACCTTGGTAGAGAGTGCCACATGAGTGGAAGAGTATTCGGTGGGTAGCTTTCTGAAAGCAGCCCACTCCTGTTTTAACCTCTTCAGAATGAATTACTTGAATAATGAGGGCGAATTATTCAAATAGGGGGTTCTTGTACTTTTGATGCATCATAGAGAGTGAACAACCACATGTCAGGGTCCTTTATTTATATTTCTTACTTAGATGTGATGAATCTTTTTCTAAACTTGCTCTAAAAACAACAATTAGGACTTTTTAAAGTTTAATCAAGTAGTTAAGCGTCATTTGGAAGGATGTAAACAAAGCTACATCACGTGTCATCTGTAGATATTCAAAGGTCCTTACATACCGGGGCCGACACGAATAAAAAATGCGAAAGTACGAAATATTCTGAGGCGAATTTTGACGCGCCTGACTATACACATCAAGCCGATGCGATTTTGCGACTTTCCAGGGGAAAAAGACGCATCCCGGGGAAGACTTTCGTCGGGGAAAGTCCCGCTCCTTCGCCTCTGATTGGCTAGAAAAGCTGGAAACGTCATTACACGCTCAAGCCAAACGGTCAGCACTTATAGCCAATCAGAGGCGATAAGATAAGCACATGAAACTATGGTAACAACTGTTAGCTTACGTTAGCACAGATGAAAGTTAAAACAAAGACGTTTAGCAAACTGAGAGATCCGACTCTATGACTCTCCACAAGTTGTCCTTCAGACGTCGCAACAACACGCAATCTGATTGGTCAGAAGTGGACACACAGTATGCGCAACTTTAAAAATCGACCATGATCCGAAAAAATAAATGCCGAAATATCGCAGGACAGGAAAACGTCGCTGATGTGAACGCTTGTATTGCCTAAACAAATCAAGCTGAAATGAAAAACAGGAGAAGAGAAAGAGGCTTCGGGCCAAATATTGTAACTGACAGGTGCCTCAGTTGACCATAATGCATTGCTGTCAGGACAAATATCCAAATCTTATGTGGTTTCTTGCTTACAATGCAAGAGGTTTAGACATTATTTTTTTTATTTGTATAGAACTTTTTTGTGTGTGTGTGAAGTGAAGTTATTAATGCAATTAGGTTTACATTTTAAATTTGATGCCTGCAACATGATTCAAAACTGTTCAGGGGCATGTTTACCCATGGGTTGCATCACCTATTACTTTAAATGGACTCTGTTTGGAACCAAGGAGACCAGTTTCTGGGTTATGAAAGTAGAAAGTTGTCTCATTGATTTCAGATGCTCAATAATGACAAGTGCAAAATGCAGTACTGTATCTATATTATTAGTTCCTCCCTGAAAAATGAGGTTTTCTGGATGATAGCATATGTTGCTCTAAAACATGTAGATATCCCTGGATTATGACAGTTTCTTCTCTGCATGGTACAGTCTAATCTTCATGTCTTAATGCAGTTAACAGACCGGGTTTTGGATGTGATTTAGAGCCCATGCAGCGAGTTCCACTACAGAGTCGGGTCTGATTAAATGCAGAGAGATTAGCTGCCAAATGACCAAAGATCTCGGTCATTCAGTTTGGGTTTATCGTCTCGGTTCCAGAGACTTCTCTAGATTCTCTTAATCATCTTTTAATAATGTTATGTAAGGATACCGTTGATGATTAAAACCCCAAGTTCTCGGTTTTGTGTTGACGAGAATTAATCTGGGATTGCTGAACTATTTTCTCCCCCAGCTCTCCCCTCTCACAGAGTGTTAAATCTCTTCTAGAAGACTCTATTTATTTTTTAGCACTAGCAAACTTTTTCAGTGTTTTTTGTCTCTGTACAAACTGTTATAAAACATGATGTTTGTATAAATTTGGATTATATATGTTTGTCATCTCAAATCTTTCAGTTTCATTGATTTATAACTTGTTTTTGCGGTTGAGGGAGGGACTTTCCCCAATAAATTGGCTACTGTAAACACTGTCATGTACAGTAAATGAAGCCTCAAACTTCCGATCACATCTCTACATTCAGGTATGTTCTCTTCTTGGGTGGGTTTTTGTAAAACAACATGTTATGCTAAAAATACCTTCGAGCTCTGGGATCATGGATTGGTTAGATAATCCCTGGAATTGGGACAGGCATTAATCCCCCCTAGCCCATTTGCCATGCCTCAGATAGTGGGCAACAACATCTCACACACCTACAACATAACAAAACACAACATGCTCAAAGTGTGGAGGTGAAATCAGAAGTTTCTAGGATGTTCTGTGTTTGGGGGGTAGCCTGTAGCCTCGGTGAGGTGTAGTGGGCTCAGATGTACTCAGAGTTAGTTTGGTGTCTGTGGGAGGAGGAGGGAGGGTGTGTCTGCAGGGCCCTGATGCAGCACCACTGATTTGACAGCTGTGTTTATGTCTGAGGAACAAACTAAAACCGGACAAAAGCAGGCTGCAAAGACGAGAAACACCCTGATGAGTTCAATGAGCATGGGAAAAGAGAGAAAGTGGTGGAAGATGAGGCTTCATAGGCTTGCAGATTTTAGCTGGTCTGCATGCTGTCGCCAAAAATACACACAAACACAGTTACTATGACTTACTCGTTTTTAACGCATCGTGTCTCGCTGAAGACCTTATCGAGCCGGATCACAGCCTGGCCGAGGAACACATCCAGTCCGATAAGCGCCCGGTGCATCACGGTGAGGACCAGCTCGTTGCTCCCGGCCGGACAGCCGCTCTCCAGCACGCTGGGCTGCAGCTCAAACGAGCACTCCTCTTTCCACTCCGGCTCGGTGGTCTTCTCCGCCACGCCGGTCGAGTACTTCTCCTTCCCCAGCTGAATGATAGTGTACACGTCGCTGGTGCCGTGTTTGCCCTTGCCCCGTAAGCCCCTGCCTCTCAGCACCGTCACCTGGACGTGCGTCGGTACCCATTTCTGGTCCTCCTCTACGGTTAGAGAGGACATGTCCCCCCTTTCTCCTCCTCCACCTCCTCCAGTCAGACAGACCGACCGTCCGACCTGCCGCGACGAGGCGAGGCGAGGCGACCGGGGAGAGGTAGCGCTGGAGTCCGCCGCTTCCTCCCTGCTCTGGGTGTGCAGTCACATCAGCTCCGGGGTCGGCGGGCGGTGCCGCATTATGGCTGCGTGTATCGTCTCCACAAAGTTTCCCCTCGGTTGCCGGTTGATTGTCGCCCTGGCTCTCTCTTTCCTGTATTTGCTGCAGCAGCGTCCGTCCGTCCCTGCCTCTCTCCTCTCCTTTCCTCTCCTCTCCTCCCGCCGTGGTGCGGGCCTCTCTGCGGGCTGCGACGTCACTCCTCTATCCTCCTTCTTTCTGCAGGACGAGGAAGTTCAGATCCGACACGGCACATGGGCTGTCCGTGCAAACACAACAATACAAGTATGTGCAGGAATTTAGGGTGTGATATCACTGCCTGCTGTTCTTATCAAACCAAATGAGCTCTACAACCCCTCTCTGAAGATCTAAAACTCACCCTTTTTGGCTGTGATGGCCGTCCACGCTGCAGATATCCCGGTGAAGGCCTCTTGTGCTGCTACAACCCACAGAAACAGAGATTTCACATCTCCACCAAAGAACAATGGGGTTGTTTGAAGTTTCCCTGTTGCAATTATAGTCACATAAGAGGCTTAAATATATCCCAAAGTAGTTATATCTAATGAACATTTTATCAAGCAACATATTATTTACCTGATTTATCACAAAGCCAAGGCTCTCAGACAGGAGAACACAGCTTAAGGTCACATGTAAAAGTTTTTTTCTCCTAAAGAACTTTCAAATCCTATGAGGAATCTCAGCAATCTTAAATCAAAGTTAGTCAAAGTTTAATCCAAAAGGCAGCTGCACTTTGTTGACGCCCCTGAAAAGCCTTTCTAACTATTTTTTGAATCAGGTACACATACTTTTTTGATTCTTTTCATGCTGTAAAACACGGAAAAAGTTAACTGTCATATTAATTTGACATTATTCCTGCACATTTGAAGCTTAAGTCTCACAAGGAGAACATCCAGCCCTTAAATTTGACCTACAGAGATACAGAGTCAGAAATACTTAAATAACCCCCAGACAGAAAATTGCTTTTGTTACAGTACTCCAGTGCAAATACAGTAAAAACAGTACAAGGAGATAAATAATAAAGTAGAAGATAAAATAAGTAAAAATATAGAGATAAGTATTTACACTATAAACTCTGAAGTGTACGTCGAGTTGGTTCACTTCAGAGTTTCTTCTGTCTGTTTAAAGCAGAAACAGAAAGTTAAACAAAAAAAGAAAGTTAAACAACAAGTTAAACAACTCTTGTTTAAGTGCTTTTTCTCACTTTTCCACTTCTACTGTGCTTACCTGATATACACAGGATAGACACTTGTCTACAGGTGTCTTACTTGATTTTTTGTGATAAAATCAGATTAAACTTAAAGCTCCTGTGGGGATTTTTTCTAAAGTTCATGAAGTTCAGTTCATTTTATATTAATACCTTTATATGATACACAAAAGTAACCAAGACTATCTGCAACAAGGTAAACAAATATTGTGTTGTAAATTTGAATGCCTTAAACCGGTGTGAGGGGATAGGTGTCCGTCATTTTCACATTTTCCATGTAAAATATTCACATTATGTGATTTGGCTGTGAAAAGTCAGAGTGATTGGATTATTTTTGGATAAAGATGATACATAAGTATGTTAAGGAAAAGATAAGAAAAGACTGACTTGTCCACAGGGGGCGCCAAAGTTGACACAAACACAAATTCCTCACAGGAGCTTTAACTTCTTACTAAATTAAACTTTATCATGAATACACAGGAGGATGAGCTAAAAAGACAAAAAAACATACTTAATAAAAAATAATTTGACAGTTATTTTGATTTTAAAGATTGATTCATGTCCCATCTGTTAACATGGAGGGGTCCATGTTTTGGCTCCACTTTGGAGAGCCATCTCTTTATTCCAGTAAAACCAGTACCAGTACAAAATACAATATCTGGTACCCGTTTTGGTACCATAGCAACAATAAATGACCTCCTGGGTACTCAGAAAGGCCCTCCTCTGCTCTTTGTCTGTCTGCAGTAGACATAAATGTCACATGCCGCTACAACATGATGAAGGAGTCAAAACAACAGTACCCCATTTGCCCACCTGTGAATTAGGAGAGTAAGTGGCTGTGACAGCGCAGCAGGCAGGAAAAGGTTGACTGCGGCTACCACCAAACCACATCCAGCATATTACCGCACATCTATGTAGAAATGCATATGCATCTATACATTCTTAAGAGCATAACTGCAGTGAAACAGTCAGAAACCTGTATTTCCTTATGCTTTTGGGAGCCTTAATGGAAGTTTTGAACTCATAGTGTTCCATATTATAATTTTCTGGCACCATCTTCATGAGCAGGTAAGACTTTCAAACCCAAACTATAAAAACTCAGGCTATTAGATCATCAATGCAAACCACCTATCTGAGAAATAACTTCCTGATGTTGCGTGATGCATCTTGACAGAGTACTAACTGAATATTTCACCACATGAGATGTTGCCGGACACCGAGCATACTGACAGCAAATTACCCCACATGGTAGGATTTTTCAGAAAAACTCCCCCGGGTGCAGAGTAAGCTTTACACAGATGCTACTGATTCTCTAAAAATTAAATTCTCCACCAGAGCTTTTTTATTTTGTGATGAATTGGCTGTGTAGTGCACTTGTGGTAAGTGATATCATTGTCGTGCTGTATTCAGCACCACACCTATGACTGTGAAATCTTCCTAAATTGTGGTTTCTTTAGATCTTCACTGTCTTCTCCCTTAGCTTCATTTCCTCAGACCCCTCTTTTTTTTTGAAGCTGTCACTATGAGAGAGAATTTGTTCCCTGTTGATTTGCCCGCCTCAGTCTGTCTGATCTTGGCTGACGTGCTGCTGTGAAAGCCCTCGTTTGACCCGAGTGTTTGAGGTTACGTCTACTTGAGAGTGACTGATGGGAGGACCGGGGCCGGTTAATGTTGCCGCTGGTGTTGGTTGATGTAGTGCCGCATCGTGTACGGCTTACATGTGAGAAAAATCAATAAATGGGGAGGACTTTGCTACAGATTGGCCTGAGGAAAGCCGGGAACCCTTCAAATGACGTCATATCCAAGTCTATTTATCGACAAACAACTTAGAGAGGTCATCAGTTTAGGTTAAAGGTACTCAGAGTGTTAATTTGCAACTAGTAATGAGGTTTAAATTTCTCTAACAGTACATATGAGGGTTGGTCATCACATATACTGTTGTTGGTTTGCAGAGGAAAGCAGGAGCAGAGAAAGAGTTTGAGAGGAACTGCTGCAAAATAAAATCATACTAATAATACTAAAAAGCAATCATACACTATACAAAAGTGCATAGAGATATCTGAAGATCACAAAAGGCTTCAGAAACTAAAAGTGGTGGATTAATATCATTCGCATCGCCACTGAGAGTAATGAAGTGGTGTGGTGAGTCAAACTGGGAGTTAACTCTTCTGACAGAGATTTAAAGCTTCTTTACAATAATAATATTTGTCCCCAGTGATACTATAACTGCACCACACCAGTCAGAGTGATGATATATTGTCTTGTTGATATTTTGCTCCAATCACAGCAGGTAACACAGACACTAATGCTATCTTTTAAAAGCATACCGCTGTTATGTGAGCGCAAGGACAACTAGTGAATTGAAGTAGTATTTTTCTTTTATCTAAATTTTAGCACAATTTAAAGACATCTAAAAGTAATTTGGGCAAGATGAGTCACAGTACCCAATACCAAATGCCCAATACAGCACATGGCCCTCAACAACACTAATATCACAATATAGTGATTGCATGATAATTGAGAAAACGTATAATGACTCAGGACTCAAAAGGCCTCAAAAAGGTGAAGTGCAGAATTGATGTCATTAGCACCACCAAAAGGAGCCATGGAGTAACAACACAGTGAGTCAAATCTGAAGGGTATTTTTTGTCAATTCAAATATCCCACAGGTTTAGAGGATGATACACCGCCTAGTTGATACTTTTTCCCAACTCTGATAACTGATAAAGATGTGATTCTAAAAGCATTTGATAGGGTCAGAATGTGAATTTTTCTGTCTTTATACTAAATTTGTCAGGATTTCATAAATTCAGATGATTCGTGCAACGGTAAGAAGACTTTTTGAAGACAAAGGCTGTTCAATTGTATGTGTAAGGACAACTAGGATATGTACATGCTGTTTTGGTTTAGGTTATTTCCAAAAGAAACCATACTTAGATTTTCCACAACTGATGACAATGTCTTGAACTCACCTAAATCCTGATCCGCAAAACAACACAATACATCTCAAGTTTAAGGCACTAATGTGAGCCTGATGACCAGGTAACTTCAGTGAAGTGTGTTACAGACCTGTTTTTCTGACTCCATGTGCTTCATGTACCTAAAAAAAAAAGATCCTAGTGATGGATTTATAAACAGCAGCCCAGTCCAGATCCTCAAAGATGGAGCTCAAACTGTGAGGGTCCTCCTGACTGTCAAAATCTGGTCACCTGTAGATTGTTTTGACAATTAGAGAAATCCACTTTTCTCCAACACCAAGTCTGCAAAAATGCAACTCTAGTAAATGTGTGGCTAACTGGTCAGTTAGCTAACTACACCCACAGCCCATTAGCTTACTAGGTAAGACATTATACGGTGATACAAAAAGCCAGACTCTACCCTAAACATAAAAGTATGTCTAACAACACTTGAGCAATCAAATAAGTCAGTTATGAGTCATTTTAACATCCTTTTAAAAGTAAAGCGATGAAAGTGGGTCATTTTTGACGCTAATGCAACCGACTATTTCCTGGTCGGGCCGTTGCCAGGAAACCAGCAGAGATTAGAGGAAACGGCTGAAGTTAACATTTGTTTAGCTATTGTTCGGTTACACAATGGATATCAGAAACAAACAACAGAATTACTCACCTTTTTGTGCAATTATTCCCTAAGAAGCTTTTGTTCGTGAAATTTCTTAATTTTTTTTGCTGTTTAAAAGTTTTCTCAGAATGGGGTTTGAGTTTTCTTCACAAGCCTACAAGAAAGCGACGTTTAGCTCCTATAGGTACATGCCACAACACGCATGCCCGCTAAGCAATCACAGCTCAGATCATTAAAATGTAATTAATCTAGTCACATGACCTTAGGGAGACATGCATTGGTATATATTGTGGTAGAATAACTGCCAGCTTTTTGAGCAGTATGCACATGGTGATGGCTCTCTCTATGTTACAACCATACCCAGTCTCCCCTACCCCTCATGAAGAACATGACCCTCCAGCCTTCATATCCTTCTCACCCGGAAACACTGTGGGATAACCTCAATCTGTGTTGATTCCTTTGATAAAGATCTGCTCAAATTGAGACTTCCTTTTCAACTTGATTCTGAACAGCAACACAAATAATTAAAAGCTTCCTGTGTCGCTGACAGACAGCTTCACTATAGAGGCGGAAAGCACATCAGCAGCCATTCAAAGCCTGAAAAGTACCACTTGTCCCCTCATTTCAGAGCGCCTGCTTTCCCTTTGCAAGCAAGCTTTTATCCAACCTTCTGTCTACAGCCGCCCACATTTAAAATAACACTTTATGAGCCAATTTATGCCGACAGGAGGAGGATGTCCTTTCTCCGAGGGGATTTCTTTGAGGGTATTTTGACAGAAGCACTTGAGATTTTCCACTCAGGTAAAGACCGAGTAAACAGACTGGCTCTGAAGTGGCAAGCGGTGCCACTTAACAAATCTTTGTACCCATGAAAGGTGAAGTGTTGTTAGTCATCGGGGAGGCTAAAAATGTGGGTGATGCATCAAGTATTTCTGACCACAAGATATCCTTCCCACTCTTTCCTGTGTCAATTCTTTTTATCAACAAAACAAGCCCACACGAACCCAAATGAAGTTCACTCACAGTCCCTGTTTTCACCTCCAAAATTAATAGAAAAAGGACAGAAATTGCTCAAAAACATAAAAGAGTTGTTTGATTGTAATATTGAAAATGTCCTGACTCAAACCGGTCAAGTATATTGCCCTCCCTTTATATTCAATTTGTCTGCAGTGGTCATGCCAATTTAGATACCAGGAGTCTGTCCATTACGTGTTACTGGAGGTTAATTTTAGTGAGGCAGTAATGAGCTTTGAGAATAAATGAGTTTTTGTGGGTATGCAGGTGTCAGAGCAAAGGTTGTGATTTCTCTGTACAGACCATTTCCACTTCAAAGAAATCATCTGTGGAGGAGAAAATAGTATTCAGATTCGACTTTATGGGATTTCTGCGAGTTGGAAGATGAAACAGAAATGTTTTAACGATGCCAGGCGAAAGTTTTGGCTGTGAAAAGATGTGAGTTTTGGCAGGAGCATGAAGCAGGTTTGGTTGGTAGATGTCCAGATTTGTTTTACAGTGGAGGCAGCAGGCAGGCGTGATGATTTTAATGTTTAAAGTTGCATTAAACAGCATTTTAGCCTTTTGCCATCGAGAATGAATATAAAGTCTGAAATTAAGGCTTTACCAGGAGTCATGCTTGAAAGAAACTCTGATACACAGGTGATGGACGCATGCTGCTTTGCATTAATCCCTGTTCTGCGTCTATGCAAATCAAAACCCAGTGTATGTGGAGGAATGGCTGACACAATGCAGGGTTTATGAGACCACACTCTGGGTTTACCTGCACTGTAAAAAATGAGAATTCTAATGTTAAACAAAATCTGTTTATTAATGGATAAAATTCCTCCTCTCTGAACAAC